AAAAAAAAAAAAAAAAAAAAAAAAAAAAAATCAAGAGTTTTAAAAAAAATTATTTTAATTAATTGATAAATAATTAATATTCACGTATATTATAATGAGATGAAATTTTTTAAATAAATTCATTTTTTTACGTATAATACTATTGTCAATTTTACTTATATATCATTGAAATAAAATAACTATTTTAAATTGAGTAAGTGAATCTTTTATTTTAAAATGAAAGTAAAATTGATGTTTTAAAAAATTCATACTTACATTATTTAGGAGTATTATAATCCATGAAAGTAGAATTCAATAAAAAAAAATAGGAGGCTAAAATAAATTTTTGTTCAAAAAACGATCAATGATAATTACCATTGATATTAACGAGCGTTTTTGGTTGAATTGTTCTACTGGCTAATTAAAAAAATCAGTGAATAATTTTTCTTTTTCATTATTTTCTGTTTCTTTTTCTTTTTCAAGAGTACATATATAAACGTCATTTATTTTTCATATAACTATTTATTTCAATTTGTAAAATATAAGATTACGTATTACTTGGAATGAAAATTGAACAGTTTTTTTTTTTATACTGTTTTTTAAAATTAATATTATACGCATTATTTGTTGATGTTTCTTCTTGACTCGCTGGTACATAACAATGACGTTTTTACTCAAATGTACAACGATATATTCGAATATGTATACATATATATCTGCTTCAGTATATTTTAATATTTGGAGATAATTTATTTATTATTTTTTCATAATTTGACCGTCGTATTTCTTTAAGGCGCGGTGTGATAAGTATTGATTGGCATACTTGGGAATGAAAGGGTGGGAGTGTATAATTATTCATTTTTTTTTGCTAAAATTATGTTTTCATTACATACGATCTCAATTTTGACAATTTTTTATCATCTATTATACTTTATTGATTACTTTAATTAATTATATGTATTTCTTTTGTAATAATTTATTTTTTAGCCTTGCATTATTAATTCTCCACTCGAGCACGACAAACGAATTTTATTCGTGATATAATTAACTACAGACAAATAAATTTAAAACGATTGATCAATATTTATACCGCGAGGTTTGCTTTGTCAACATTTAATTATTTATTCTTTTAATAAATTAAAATCGATTTTATTTATTTATTTGTTTATTCAATCAATTTATTGTCCCGCATTTTAATAAAACCTGTAATGTCAATTTTATAATTGTTTATTGAAAGAGAAGTGATTTTAAAAGTGGTCCTTGTATTCACTTCTTTATTTATTTATTCTATAAATAATATAATTATAATTGTTTATTTAAATATAATAAATGTTTATGCTTTTCACCAATTATTTTTATTTAATTTTACAAAATAGCGATGAATTGTAATTTCGCATATTTATTCAATTAATTATCGTCCAATAATTAATATTCATTCATCATTTTATTTTTATTTTTATTTATTACTTTTTTTATATATTTATACTTCATGGTCAAAATTATTAAATTGGGAAGCACAAAATGTTATTAATAATGAGCTTCGCGACAGCAATTCGCGGTACTATTTTAATTATCGAGCGACGATTCACATCTTCCATACTTTTCTTATTCAATACTTATCTCACGGACTATAATATTTATATAATTAAATAATTTTTTTCCTATCATACATACACACACTCTTATACTTACAGTGGCAAATTATTCATATTTGATATCAATGATTTATTATTAATAAAAATTTTTTTTCCATTAACCCTGTCACTTCATTAAACATAATTGGTATTTAAAAAATCTTCGCTGAATAAGACTGAGCAGTTTAAAAAATTTTTATTTTAAATTAATGCAAAAATGTAATGGGCTATTAAGCTCTATACACATTTCCTTTTTTTTTTTTTTTTTTTTTTAATTATTATTATTATTGGATCAACAAATTTACACACGCTCATACGTTTTCATAAATCTAGTAATAAAATAATAGTTATTCATTCATACATAATATTGAAAAAAAAAAAAAAAAAAAAAAAAATTTATGGCTCGTGAGCAATTACGAATTTTATTTTATATTTTTCTTTCAATCTAAGTTTTTACTCAGATACAATCAACTTAATAAATAAATTGCTTTTACAATTTTTTATCGATAAAAAAATCAATTTACATATTTTTAATTGATGAGTTAATTTATTACTTTAACAATAACAAACGTTTTTTATTCGTTGCAAAAATAAAAATAAATTTATAAGTTTTAAAAACAATAAATTTATTATTAAAAAATCTATTACAATTTGAGTTACTGTGTATTCCCAATTAATCAATTGATTTTAAAAATTTTCATTTGATTCAATCTTGCACATGAAATTTTTTTTTATTTGTTTTATCGTAATTGTAGATAGAAACTGTAATTTTAACTACTGTTGATATAATTTATAATAATCATAGAATGTCAGACGTCAACAAATAATCTAATATATAAATTATAAAAATTAGTAATGGACACTTGTCATACAACAGTAATTATTATAATAATGTTCACTATACAAGTAAAACCCGCATGAATACATAAAACTGTGTACAATGATGTAAATGAAACTGGTTATTAATTTATTTTATTGGGTATGATTATCACATTATTTTTTTTCTTCCATTCATACAGCAAAAAAGTAATTGAACACAGTCGTTCGATATCAATAAGTCTTACTTGACGTACTGCTTGCAGCTATTTTATTTATATACGTAGTTTTATTTTATTCAATAATATTTTATTTCGTTTTATTTACCATTATTATTATTTATATATTTCATTTTATTATTAGTTATTTAGCTTTTTTTTTTTTTTATTTTTTTGGTTTAGTTACACTATAAAATGTGAAAATTTGCACTTAAGAAAAATGTTCAATGCGCAATGAGCAACGGTTTTCAGCTTTTCTTTATCAATAACGTTCATTATCGTTAGTAGTTTATTACAATTTTTGTTATTTATTCATTGTATATTTTATTATTCGTTTAATTTATTACTCTGTCCATTTTCAAAGAATCCTTCAATCAAAAGTTATCCAGTAATTCAATAATCCATGTGTTTATTAATAATATTTCATTATATTATAAATTTATTACACTTATAACGACTATTTTATATTTATCAAATACCGCTCAAAACTATTTTGCGCGATACGTATTTATATGAATAATGTTTTATTTCTGGTTATTTTTTTTTGTTTTTTAATTTTTTTTCCTTCCTATTCAGTGCATAAATGTATGGTACGATTTTATTTATTTATAGTTTAGAATATACTTTGGTATAGCTCCAATGGCAGCGATTAATGTGAAATATACATATATACTTGGGTATTATTACAGCAATATTACCTTTATCAATTTATATATATATATTTATATTTATATTTATGAGTAATGTTTTATTATTATATAATAGTAATTATTATATCATAATAATATATATACTGCATTCTCTGTCTTTAGAATTTTTTCAAAGAGTATCCATCAATTTTCTACAACTTTACATTCTCTTTACAATTTTTATTTCTTTCGATAACTCAAAAAATTTAATTTTAAAAATTCTGAGCACGATAACTTTTATATAAAATAATATATGAGTTGTTGTTACTCAAAATTACTCGATACAATGAAAAAGCGTTTGATAAATGCCGGTGCCTGGTATCAGGAATAAAACCATTTTACTTTATTTTACTGTACAAAATTTAGATGTGCGTAATTCGTACGATACTATTCATTTATTAGACTATTCGTATCGCTTTTTAGTTATTAAATAATTTTCAATTTATTCCGTAGCATTGATTCATTTCAATTTATTATCGAGCCATATAAATAATAACAAAACTAATAAATAATCATAATCATAATCTTGATAATAAATATATAAATTACAAATAACCGTCCAAACCCTAAGAGTGGACCCTCATTATCTATAAAAATTTTGGCAGACTAATTAAATTTAAATACTCTCTCTTCTTATTGTTTATAACTTAGTTTTTTTTCTTTTTTTTTTCCTATAAATTATTATATCAATAAAAGCGTTTTCGCTTACCGATACGTTACTCTTTTCATCAAATAGTATACAATTACAATCATTATTATTTAGTGACAAGACAAATATTTATTTTAGACCCTTAACGTTAGACCAACACGACTTATTACTATACTCCAATTTCATAAAATGCCTGTTCGATCGCTCATTATTTATAATATTTTTTTACAATAGCTCTTGGTCAACGCCACCGTATAATTTATTTATAATAACAATCGGCGGCCATTCGCCAGATTTTACATCTTCGATCTATCTAAAAGAATACCCACTCCGTATTGCGATGCCTTGAAACAACAGTATTTTTTTTTATTATTATTTTACCGTTCAATGTAAAATATACAGCGTATTCAATTGCAGTAAAATGTATAAAAGGATTAAAAGAACGCGTTTTTTCAAATAATTAGCAGGTACCAGCCTACGTACATCTGTTGTTTCATTTAAAATCTCGACTAATTGTTCAATGTGGGCATTTGTCCAATTACTAGTAATCAATATAATCAAACATACTTTCACCTCACACTTTTCTTCTCAAAACAATACATAATAATTATAGTAATAATTCATACATTAAATATAAAATGAAAATTAATATATTAATCTTATCTTCACTACTAAACATATCAATACATCAAATGGACAATGATGCAAGTACACACATTATTGATAAAAAAATGATGGATTTCTAAATCATAATCATAACCCTGGTGTCCATGTATAATTAATCATTACTATATATACCCACGTAATCTGAACAAACGTTTTTACAATATTTATCCTGATTAACGTGTAATTGAAATGCTGTAACGAAGATGATGGTATTCCTTTGATATGATGACAATAATAATTGATCGATATTATTGTAATATAAATGGCCATTGATGGCGCTGAATAATGAGCTGCCGAAATAATCGATTCGAGCAACGATGATAACAACAACATTAACAACAACAATTTTTTTATTACACTTTAGGCGCGGTTGTACAGTCTGCGTTTCATAAACACGTGCGATTAACACACGCTTTGGTAGTGGTCGACATTCATGACGACACTCGGAGTTGTAAGTATTATTATTATTATTGTTATAATAATAATAATAATAGTAATGATAATGATGATAATTATTATTATTTTTATTATAAATGCAATTATAATAATAATAACAATGACAGTGACACCAAATTGTAACAGTAGTGCACGATGGTCACGGAGTTTCGGGACTACTCGCATCATCGCCACATACATGCTCAATTTCACTCTCACTTGGTGGACTAGGCTGCTCCATATGATACTGATTGTTGTAGGTATCCGGATGGCTATGACTATGAGTACTTGGTGTTCGATGGAAGACGGTGTGATGATGATAGCAGTAACGCATGTCCTCGATACGCTGTTGAAAGTCATCGATGTTTACTTCTTCAGTGCGTCGCTTCATTTTACGATGACAGAGAAGACACAGTGCGAGGGCTACTAGTACAGCAGCCGCAGCACTTCCTGCAGGTATTGCGTAACTTACTGGAGGCACTGATATTGCACCTGAAAATTTTATTTTTTTATATTAATTTAATGTTGGGAATTATTAATTATAATCATCACAAATTGATTATTTATCTTTTTTAATGATTCGCGAAATAGTCAGTGACTAAATAATTTTAACAATTAATTATTTTCAAATTAAAAAAAAAAAAAAAAAAAAAAAAATACAGTGCAAAAATATTTTATTAGTGAAAGCAATAGTGGAAATTGAAAAATTGAAACATTTAGATTTTGATCATGCAGAATATTTTAATAAGTCAAAAATAAGCAAAATCAATTCCACATTCATTTAATATTCATCATGCACTTAAGGTGTGTGTTAATTAAGTATTGATTATTTCAATGTATATTTAATATATTACCTATAGATATTGTCTCGTCTGGATAAATTTATAACTACATTTGATTCAATGTAGTTATTTTTTTTTTCAGATTATTTTTTTCAGATTTTTTTTATAATCAATTGAATTTTGTTTTAGCGAACGTCCTCGAGATGATGCATAATTATTTGTATTTACTGGTGAATTGTGTGAGTAGACTCACGTGATAAGGGAGTTCATGCTATGCTGGAACGTTGGAAGCCACGGCAAGGCCTCAGTTGGTCACGAACACAAAGCACAGAGATAGAAGAAGCATGTCAGAGACTCCAGACAATGCTAGTGCCAGTGGGGCTGATGCTGTACCTGTGAGACACCATACAACCGTTCACCCATCATCGTTCGCCCCACAGATATAAATACAGAGTGAGTGAGTTAGTGAGAGAAAGAGAGTTATTTCCAAATTAAAATTCATTCATCGCCCTATCTTCTATTCTATTTGCTTTTATCAAGTACTAGATTAGATTCGATTCTTACTTCTCATTTCATCTTACAGTCGGTCGCGGGAATTCAATCAACTCATCTATTTCCCGATTCATTTATTCGAGTATGTTAAATATGACCATCTTTTTTCTTCATTTTTCATTTCTCCTGGTAATACATGCTTTGTGCAGTATTTTATTACCATAATACATATTAATATGAGTATTGTCATTGCTATATCATTGAATAAAAAATTCAAATAGAAAATAGAAAAGAAAAATATTTTAGAGGAAAGGAAGTGTTCAGTTCATTCACATTTAGATATTTATATAAAATATATAGCATTTAATATGTGTACTGTACGAATCATGTATTCCAGACATGGCATGCGGTTAAGATTAAATATGTGATCATACACGCTTAGATATATAGGTATATAAGGCAGGTAGAAAAAAAATATAGTCAACCGAGACTGCTTCTGTGATTACTCTATACCCATTTACGTACATAGTTGACAAGTAAAAGACGTGAGTAGATAAAAAGTAAAGATATAATAAAAAAAGGGTAGAAAAAAATTTTGGATTTATGCCAGATAGAGCCAAGATAGTGATAGTTATGATGGGATAGTTCAGTGAGCAATAAAAATTCATAGGGCGATAGTAAAGTTAATTAAGATATACATATATAAATATATATTTTAGCATTAACACTAATGGTAATGTTTACATCAATGTTACGCTGGATTTTATATATGTATATATGTATTTATCGGTAATAGATCACGGTTTTAAAGCTGATCTCACAGGTTATCATGACTCACAGTTCTCCTCGTCGCTTGTATCATTTGGACCGCAGTTGTCTACGTTATTACAACGTAATGTTTCTGCAATGCAGTAGTTGTTTCCACTACAGTGAAATTCATTCGGCTCGCACTCGTTCGCTTTATACACTTCTGTCCATACGGCGCGAAAACCTTTTTGGCCTACTGATTTGTCCGATGATATAAAGCTGTAATGAGAAATTTATTTTTAATTATTGTAATATTATATAATAAATTGAAATTTCTTAATATTCAATTAATAATTTAATTCATGTACCTGAGTCGCATATTATGATCTTGAGATAAATAATCATTTGGACCGTCTGACGTTTTTACACCACACAATTCAATTGGAGTTGCCATCGGCGATAACCACAATCGTAAAACAGCCGCGGGACATCCTCTGACTGTAATTTTAATTTCATTTTATTGCATAAAATTTATTTTAAATTTGGAAAATCTGAGAGAAAACTTACCCGATTGTTCACCTTCTACGGAAAAATCTTCGAAATAGATTAATATCTGATGATCCGGACGTACAGATATAAACCAATTGCAAGTTTTACTCGCGAAATTTCGGAGAGGACTGTCGTAATTCTCTGGATGATTTGGTGTCATTATTACACCGTATTCGAGACTACTTATATTGGAGCCACAATCTGAATAAAAAAATATTAATTTTAATTAAAAAAAAAAAAAAAAAATTATTAATAATAGTCAAAGTAAAACTTACCGCCGAAAATAGACTTGGCGACTTCAAACATATAACGAGCTTTGAAGCCACTGTAAACTAATTCTGCATCTGAGTGAAGAATAACTTTGACTCCAAGCGCACCGAGATTCGATTCTACGGGACCTGGTGCAGAAGTTCCACAGTATCTTCCAATTAATTTTTCCGTATTGTCACGATACATGTTGTAAATTTCTAACCAATCATTCTGACAGATCTCTTCTCTGTTAATGATAAAAATAAAATATAATACAAAATGTATAATAATAATAATAATAATAATAATAATAATAATAATAATAATAATAATAATAATAATAATAATAATAATAATAATAATAATAAAATAATAATTAACCCATAGAATCCAGTAGTCGAATTTGATGGCTGAGATCTAACTTTAAAGTGATCAAAAACAAGAGTAACTTGTTCGTTTGGAGTTGCCAAGAAGAGATAAGTACAATTGATATCGCTCGGATAATTGCTTGGATAACGTGGTGAATTGAATTCACCTTTCTTCCGTGAGGAACTGCGATAAGTGAATGTGCAACTGCCGTCCGGTGCAGCCGTACCGGGTATTTTGTATTCTGTTTCGAAGCTGTATCTATTGACAATTCAATTAAGAACCCATTCAATTGCTTGTAGTACATTAAAAGCAGCCAATATACGATATATACATTGATATGGTAATGTATTTTCTATTCCATTGATTATAACGATCAATAGAAAGAGAACAGATAATAGAGTGAAAATTACATCTCACCTTGCTTTGAAACCCCGGCCTTGTTTAAGTTCACCGCTGCTGAATACCATGACCAGCCGTGGCCCGTCACTAACTACTTGGCTCGGATTTGTTTCATTACCACACAACTCGTAATCAAATTTGTCATACGAATCAGTAGCTTCTTGGCCTTTTAGATAAATTTTAAGGTAACCGTCAGTGCAGGCTGAGCTGAAGTAATTTAATTAAATTTAAAACAAATAAATAAAATATTGATATCTTCATTAACAAAAATTAATAATAAATAAAATAACTTACTCTCCTTTTGCTTCACCCTTGCTAATATCAAACGTTAAAAATTCAAGTTTCACACGTTCCAAATGCTGTGCATCTTGCATACCATATACAAAATAACGACACACAACTTTCGGAATGTAAGGAAACGGATAATTAGGACTCACGACAGAGCCATTAGATTCTCTGGTGCTTAAAATTTTTTGGTCACACTCGGATCCTCGTATATGCATACCTCCTGATTTGTTTATGAAATCTGAAAGTATAATAATAATAATAATAATAATAATAATAATAATAATAATAATAATGATAATAATAATCAACACATTATAAAACATACTCAATTAATTATTTACGAATCGTGATGTATAATATTGGAAAATAAGCAATTATAAATGAGGCCAGGTCAGGTCAGCTAGTATAATTACTATTCATAATTTTAGTTTATATAAATATTGTATCGTACCTAATTTAACGAAGCCTTCAGAAAATTCAAATATTCCTTTAAAGCCACGATTTTGTGTGTTCGCAGTGCGCTGAAGTGTTGAAAATAGTACAGTTAAATTTGACTGCGAAGAATATAGCACCAAATTACGTTGTTGACCGCAGTAAGTCCCTATCACGGGAGCTGACTTTAAGTCAAGTCCATCGTACACCTTTACATAGTCGAATGGGCAGCTAGTTTGAAAAAAAAAATATTAACTAGGAATTAGTTAAAGTTTCAAAGATAAAATTTATAAAATATCTTACTGAGGACCCCCGTAGAAGAGATCAAAATCCCGAAACTCGAGTCTAATCCTCTGGCCACTGTTACCGATGAATTGATACCTACATGTAAGATTCTTGGGATAAGCACCAGGATATGTGGGCGAAAGGATGGATCCAGTACGCTTAATCGTTGTATTTACGACGAAAGAACACGGAGTGCCTGGCACTGGTGTTCCGATTTCATACTCAGCTGTCAAATAATTAATTTCACATATAATGCATATACATATAGAGTTGAATATCTTGTTGAAAGTCAAGCATCATGTTAATATCGCATCATGTAGTGATATGGAAATAAATTTGTTATAACTTACAGGCATTGATGAAGGCATAACGACCGCTGAATAGAGTTGGTAGGGTGATATTCTTGTCAGTATAGAAACTAAGTGCAATCCCTCGGTAGAGAGATACTCGACGTCTCGGTGGTATAGGACCGCAGTATCGACCACCGAAGGGTGTCTCTATCAGCTTGGTCGTGTTATCGGATCGTATCTGCGTGTAGACATCCATATACTCGTGTACACATCTGAAAATATCACGGTTTAGTTAGCCATTTATAAACATGTTTTATATTTTCATGCTTTAAAACATTACAGATATAAAAATATATAGATGAGCGTAGATACTTTTTAAGAATGTAAAATTCAAGTATGTGTTAAAAATGTAGTTTCATATTAAAAAAAAAAAAAAAAAAAAAAAAAAAAAAGACAAAAATGAGCACACTACTACATTGATATTAAACAAATTCAAACGGCTTTACAATTGTACATTCAATGTCTGCTACGTATAATATTAAGTAACGTCAAGTCTTCCAATTTAGGTTTTATTCATGAATATTAAACTTTCCATTTTGCCTTTTCGTATTTGTATTTTTTTATTCAGTGTTTCTTAACATCTTTGTGGCTGGTATCTCTTGGGGATGTCTTGTAGTTGGATTAGAGAGTGTGTTAAGAGTATATATTGTATATTGTATGTAATAAAGTTAAGAAGAGTTGATAAGATTGTACGGGTTGTGTAAAATTTACTGATGTAGAAGAGATGAAGCCATGAGATGGAATGAATTATTTTGATGATAATGATAATGATGACTATGCAACGCTGGAATGAAGAATTCAAATGTTTACCCAGGCAATTCCCCAACGGCAGATCCACTGAAGTAATTCCAAGCAGCAAACACAAATTACAGATCACATTAACTACAATTATACAAAAACACCATAAATTTCACATCTATAACACACATTTCCATTGTTATATTTTTATTTCACCAGACAAATTTATTCAGAATTTTAATTTAATTAATTTTATGGCTGTTAATTCAAATAAAGTAAAAAAAAAAAAGAGTAAAGAAATTTAATTGAATTGTAAAACAAAATAACTTAAGCTTTTAAATAAAAACAAATAGAAATATAAATGGAAATGGAATATTTTTTTCAAAATTAAAAAAAACACACAAACTCGCTCTTCAAATGAAATTCCAAACAGATGTGAAATTGCTATTTTATTCAAACCCATATTATTAATTTATTTGTTAACTGACTCTGGTGGTGTGCCGCGGAGACCAAATGTCGTGAAGACGACCTCGGCACGCTGATAAGGTCCCGCTAAAAATGTGTAAACACACTGCTGCGATTCACGTTTTGGATTTATCAAATACGGAGCGTGGAAAGTCCCATTTTCCGGGCTGCCTGGGACGCTGACAAATGTTTGGTCGCATCCTGGTTATAAAATAAAAACATAGTTGATAATAATTACAAGTAATATTAATGTATAAGTAATCAATAATTTCAATAATAAAATAATTATAAAATCATTTCAGGGTGACATACTTGATGTTTTGGCAGTGGCAAAAGGTCCCGGTGGTGGTGGAGATAGGGATGGTACGTAGTCTTGCTGTGGCTGTGGCACATCAATTACCTCGCGAGCTGTATCCCCATCAAGAGGTTTTAAGTCGATGTCGAAATCAGTTCACAGTTCACAGTTCATTGTCGTATCGATAATTGTTGTGTATGTTTAAGTAGAAGACACCAGTACAGGAAGATTCGTCCACCGCCACCGGGAACACACCACACACCATATTTATAATTTACATTATTTATATCTTAATTATTAATAACAATGAAAAAAGTAAAGAAGAAAGAATAAGACGTCATAGAATAAAGATTAATAGCTTCATGAGGATTCTGTTAAATCTTTCAATTCTTTTTCTTTACGTGATAATTTTTACTGACCTGTGATAGCGTGTGGACAAAGTAGCAGGAGAAAGATGATGGCAGGCGAAACGAAACTACTCCCAGAGGCATGCCACAGTACCGAAGCCATACTGTGTCCTAAAATAATGATATTTTATTATTAATAATGCAATTTAATTTAATACATTTAATGCACTTTTGTAACTGGTATATATTTTATGCAAGTATGACCTTATAACGCTAACAAGCTTTTCTTAACCTGCTTTGACATTGTACTTGTCATTTTATACGTTTTTTTTTTTTTTTCCGCCTTTAATCTTACCATATCGTCAGTGTCTATTCCAGGACCAGGAACCACGAGGAAACTTGATCCAAGAGATCATCTGGAATACATGAATGCGATTATCAGTGATTTTAATTTATTCCTTAGCCTAGACTCGGTGCCTAGACGAGATGGAAATTATTCACTGAGTCAGAGTACCCTTGGCCTTTTTTTCTATTGCAGTTTTCATTTTTGTCTAATTAAAAAAAAAAAAAAAAAAAAAAAAAAAAAAAAAAATTCAAAGCTGCAATAGAACGTGTCAAAGGGCCGTCCAAAGAAAATTAGAGTATATAAAATGGTTTAAAGTATGCACCAGCTAAAAGAAGAAATTCCTTTTGAGAAACTAAACATTAGACCGAGGAGATCCTAGGTCGGGGTGAATTATAGAGTACCAAAATTCACCACGCCCTCCAACAGTTTGCTCTTATATATAAAACTAGTTACTAATTATGTATACATAGACTTATTGTACATAGACACTAGATATATGTATAGTGGGTTTTCCACCTCTTGTTATCTTATCGTCAAGTACAAACAAAGGAAATTGCTTTGAAAATATTAGCAACTTGATGATAAATTATTCATAAATTTTGTCAAGGATTATCTGGCAAATAAAATTCATCTTTAATGCCTTAGATAGTTTGTTATCAGATCAGTATTTACTTGATAATAAAAGACTGAATGTAGAAGACTAAAAGGAGAGATTTTAAAAACATTTTTTTGCCTCGGATATAATTTACACAGTAAATTTACTTTTACAGCGTTATAAAACACAGAGAGAGAAAGAATAATATAAGGGTAATAGAGTAAATTATAAATAAAAAAAAAAACTAGTTAAAGTTAAGTTAAATAGATTGGATATAATAATTTCGCCACGCCCTGATTCCCAATATCATATCGTTCGATGAAACAAAATATATATGAGATAACAGCATTAAAGCTAGCGACGACTGGACATTAATAACATTACTTTATCTTAAAATATATTGCCGACGTTAAATCTTTTTCATTATGTCTGCTGGTGGTAGGTCTCTGAGGTATTATTTTTTTCAGCGTCAGCAAAAGGTCTTTGATAGTTAGTTATAGTTAAAGAAGAAAAATCTGAAAGAATAAAATAAATCTCTTTTAAAAATAACCGAGTAAAGAGTTTTGATCGGATGAAAACATGGCCGTTCCCATGGGAAACTGGGATAGCAAAATACATTGTACAATCCATCAGTAGGCCAATCTTCTTGGAATAGATAAACAGAAATTTAAAGAGGCTTAAAATAAGTAAACTCTGTTTTATACTTTTCGGGTGCTACTGACGTTGAGAGTATCAATAAACCGTAGAAAGAGATAGAAGAAATAATAGATGTCTTTGTGTGTGTCTATCTCAATTCTCTAGTTGTATGTGTACAAGGATCTGCAAAGGGCGGGGTGATAGGATACGAACCGCGCCCATGCGCTTGGCAAGGATGCCTTCGGATATTGGTCAATAATTAAACATTTTTCCAAAACTTTTTCTCTAAGTACACCAATCTATACTCTAAAAAAAAAAAATAAAAAAATAAAAAAAAAACTAAAATCATAAAATTAATAAAGAAACCTTTGATGACTCAAAAATACAAAGTAAATATCCAACTTACCGTGACAGTGTTTTAGGCATGTTTATTAAGTATCGCCAACGTTTAAAATAAATTGTTTGAAAAGTAACTCCTCGTGGTTGATTGATCTTTATCCAGCTAGATATATCGCGTGGCTGTCTCGTGCCTCACGACTACCCCCACATGATTTTTACAGTTGTATTGGATTGTATTTACTTATTTACTTTTTTTAAGGTTATATTGTAACAGCGCTTCAACAATCAAGTGGTCAATTATTGTCAAAATTTCGACGTTGCAAATCGGCGACTTAAAAAGTTAAAATAAATAAAACCAGTTAAACCATCTTGAGAGCAGAAAATAATTATTTGTTGGGTTGCGCAAACTCATTTCTTCTCACTTCAACAAGATATATATCACGTTTATGGTCTCTTTTTCCAACTTACTGGTTACTGCTGCTGTTTTCAACCACGCTAATGAACTGGCCTCGTGTGAAAGGGGCGCATCATCATAATATTATTCACCTATATCATATCATCCAGTCAGAGACCTAATGAAAATTTCAGCCTTTTACTATTTATTTAGATATTTTATTCATGATTTATCATTTTAGATATCAAATCACTCTCGCCACCGTAAACACTGGATCACTATCAAGTGTTAATTTTTTAAAATTAAAATTTTTTTACCCGTAAGTAATGACAATTGTTATAAATGATTTTTACACAGATGTTTTATTGCAGTGAAGAAATAAATTTATTGTGGAATGTAGGATGAATAATGTAATGTGTGCACTTCGGACGTACTGGAGTCTCTCTCCCTCGAATGCTGTGCTATCTCTTCCCAATTTTGGTTGATGTCCTCTCTTGAACGCGCGGGCGCTCGACTACCCTCCACTGTTCCTGCACCCCCGAGTTAAATCCAAACCAGAGGTCGCTTAAAACGTGAGGGTGGATTTTAAATGCGAGTGGGGAGGAATCAGCGGGAATGGGGAATGGGGTGCATGAACTAGGGTACGATCTCGTGGTCCACGATAATAGATTTATTTATAAATAAAAGTGTATAATTTTTTTTTATTTATCAACAACTTTTGCTTTAGTTTATAGTTAAGAATTTTTATTATTGTCTGAAGAAAATATTTTAGATATTTCTTCTCAAGTTTCAACAAATAAAATTAAACTATTGTTATTTTTTTTTTTTTTTTCAGAGAAAATGATGAGAGTTTAATAGTAAGTAGGACAAAGATGCGCAGACGACAGCGCGCTTCGCCACCACCCTTTAATTTCTCACTCTCGATACATATGCGTTGTGAACGTGCTACACAGATTTTCTACTAGCCACTTTCGAGAAGAAAATAAACGAAACAACTGAAAAAATATATCTATAGATATCTATTGCTATCTTTATTTATTTTTTTTTATTTTTCAACAGAAGAGATAAAGGGAAACGTGAGAAAAAAAATACAAAAGATTTGGAGTTTTGTTGACACACCCTCAATGAATTATATTTTTTTGAACTTTGTCGAGAGCAGTATTGAATTTATTAACTTATTAATTTAAGTAAATTTATGGTTTAAATTGTAGATACTAGTAGTGGAATTGGTGGGGTTGCAATGAATTGTAATTCGACGTGTATTTTTAATTAAAAAAGGTAATTCACATACAACTGTTTATTGAGACATGTAGAATACATCTGGTTTCATACACAAAATCTTTGACACGTTTTTTTCTTTTTATCTGTTTATTTATAAATCAAGATCCTAGCCCGGGACAAAACAAAATAAAATGATGAAGGGAACGATTGTAAACAATTAATATAATTTTTTTAATTAATTATTCTTCTTCTTATTAATTGTTTACTATCACTGTCTTAAACATTTCGACATTTAATAATTATTTTTCAACTACCACATTAAAATTAAAAGGCAACATTTTTTATTTTTAGTCATTTTTAGGTAAAATAATAGAATTATATTGCGGTTTTTAAAAAGCAAAGCGATTTCTGAAGCTGATTAATTGAATAAAAAAATTGATGTATACAATTTAAATGTTTAAATAATAATAATTAGTTGTTTTAACATATTGTCTGTAGGGGTAATTTTTATTTGACAAAAATAAAAAGTTTGCAGATAAAAGACATAAACTAATTTAGAAACTCATAAATAGAAGTTATAATAATAATACATTTTAACCGTGACAATTTAAAAGTTTATAGTTAATATAATAACCATAATTCATAATTAAAATAAACGATTAAGAAAAAATAAAACATAAACACTAACAATATTTCATATGTTTTTTCAAAAATTGAATCAAACTTAAATTTTTTAATAATTTTTTTTTTTTTAATCTTTATCATCTACAATTGTTAATGATTAACGCGTATCTAATTATTTTCATCTAATTTATTTATTTTTCATTTATTTAATTTGTTATTATTTTATTTTTTCCTAACTTTAATTACCGCAATAGAAATAACATGACATTTGTTGACAAAAAATGCATATTTTCAAAGAATATAATATAATATATAATATATTTATACATAGTTAAAAAAAACACCTCGCCTTTTATTTTTTTTTTTCTCAATCTTTCGTCCTCTCTTAGATTCTCGGGGCCAAAGTTTTTTTTTTTCTATTTAAAAACATGTCACAATCGTTCCATTTAACGATTCTGTCATTTCAATAAAAATGACAGATTTAACTATCGTGTAAAAATTGTTTATTCATTATTTTACTTTATACTTTACTCAACTTTTATTTTTTTTTTATTATTTTTAATATTTTTTAGTTTTCTATCACTTTTTAAAAAAAAAGCCCGCGCGACTTGAAAGAGAAAGAAAGATAGGAAAAAAAAATTCCATCGTTTCTTATTTTTATTATTACAATATTATTTTCTACTAATAATTATTTTATTTTATTTTATTTATTTATTTATTTATTATAATAGTATCCCAGCAGATGCGGTTTTAAATCGCGAGTAAATTATAGGACATTGGCCAAAAAAATAGAGAAAAATAATAAAAGTAGAAAAAATATATTAAAGGTATATAAAAGGGCGCGCGGTTCGTGGCGTCGTCAGTCTCACAGTGGTGCATTATCCTAAATGCGACCTTCAATCCCTTTTTTATTTTATTCAGTCGCTCTGACATTCGCGGGTTTGTGGTATATTATAGTATATAGTATATAAGAAAATACAATATTTAATAACAGGTATACAAGGATAGGAAGAGATACAGGTAATAGGTAATAGGTAATGTAGGTGATGTTTCGGGCTGTAGGGATCAGATTAAAAATTGAGAGTACAAATAGGAATGGGGTCACAGTGTAGGTCATTGGGGATAAAAAGTTCATGCAAAAAGGGTGGATATGTGATAACGGGTTGGGAAGTAGAGTGAGAGGATGAGGATCGAGGAATATGCGAGTGTCAGAACGACCGTGTTCAACGGGCTAGGGTCAATATATACCTAGATCAGTCTAAAGTCTCGTCACCGTGAACTGCCTTAGCCTCTTGCCACTCGTGTGTGTGTTATATGTGGTTTCCTTGCCCCCGCAAGTCGAACAATCTACATGTTATATATTTATACAAATATATCAATTATAATTTTGTTTCTTCACAATTTTTTTTAACAAATTTATGACAAATCCAACTATGTAGTTATTTATGCTTTTTTTTTTTTTTTTTTAAATCAATTTTTTCCTCTTTACTTTAAATACAATTCTGATCAATTACAATTTTAATTGCCTCAAAGAAGAATGAGAAATGAATTTTTTTTACTTTGAATTTATTTATCCCTTATATGTTTTGGTTTTTTTCCTTAATTTACTGCATTAGGTATGTTATGTTATGTTTTTTTTTTTTTTTTTAGATTATTTTTCTAATTTTTCATCGCTTATTTTTATTAAACGTTTTTTTTTTAATAGTGTTTATACGGAAATATTTATCATGTCACAAAAACCCACTCAGTATGATTAGCAATAGCATCCTTATTTATTATTGTTAATATTAATATTATTATATCCTCAATATTATGCTCTTTATAAATAGGTAGGAAGGTAAAAATAGGAAAAAAAATTCATTATTATCATATAGTTTCTTTTTTAGTTTATGTTTTAGAATATGTAATAACTTTTTTAGCTATTATATTTTTTTCTTTCACGGTCCTTTTGAATAAATGAGTAGGCTATATAATAATGATTAATTTTTAAAAGGTGAGGTAAAGTATATGGATTGATAATATATAATTAATTAAGTAATTGAAATTAAAGAAAAAAAATTTTTTTTTTCACGACAATACAGATCTTGTACAATGATTATTGTATAATACGAAGGCAAATAATAATTAATAAGGCAGGGATACATAAGGAATTTTACTTATTACTTTTTTTTTTATCTTTGCGGGGGATTATTAATTCAATCAATCATTAATATTATAAAACTAATTGCGATCTAACCCCCTTCCGTTAATTCAGATGATTATTAACTTCTAATATATAATTATAATAATAATAATAATAATAATATAATAATAATAAAAATAATAATAATAAAAAAGAAAAACGGTAATCGCGGTCAGGGGTAAACAAGATTATAATTAAGTAAAACATGAATAAAAAGTAACAAAACATGCTCATAAATAAGAGGGTTTGCGAGCGATTGATTATTATTTCAAATCTTTTTCATCCAGACATTTATCGCCGTATTCAGTATGCTCAGATTATATTCAAATGCATCAATTTCTATTTAAACTTACGATGCAAATCCCATTTACATTTACGTTTTTGTTAGATTATCCATTAATATTATATGTAATCAAAGTTAGTTCAATAGCCAATATTTTTTAATAATTATTTGATTATTACTTTTTTTTTTTTTCATTTTCATTTTAAAATCTTTACTCGGGTTAATCAGTTATACTTTCATATTTGTGCTGCATATACAAATCCATTATCTGATTGTTACTATTCTGATGTTATTTTGGGGACACAAGACCAGTGAAAAGAGGGGGGGGGATCTTCGGTTCACTACTAAGATTTTAAATTGTATATTTCAATTGATAGTAAGTTAATATTATTATTATTATTATTGTTGTTCTGATAATATTAAAAAATTTACGTAAAGTAAAAATGAAAAACTATTCGATTGTCTGTTATGTCAACTCCGTTTGCATTATTTGTTATGTTTTTTCGTTATTGTATTTTAAACACTCGGAAATAAACTTCTCAGCGGGTGCGTGTGTCTGCGTTATTAATCCATTAATTTTTACTGTTTGTTAAACTTTGTCAAATTTGTTTTTTTATAATCTGCTGTCTTTTTCAAATCCAATTTATTCAGATTATTGTTAGTGAATAATTGTTGTCATCATCAGTTTTTTTTTCTCATTAGCATTTGTATACATTTAAAAATTTTTTTCATTATTTAATCATTTCGTTTGTAATTGTTATTTTTTTCTTAAATCTCCAGAACAGGGGGGATGTTTTAGGCTCCAGGGACAGGGACCAACTTACAACCCGCACTTACAACTCTTACTAATTAACTAACAGGCTAACAATAACAACGAGTCTCAACACTCAAAAAAGTCGTGCGCTTGTATGTATTTTTTTTTATATTTTTTTTTCTTTTTTTTTTTTTTATATGAATCTTTACTCTCATGCATAATCCCGTATATGCTTTAAGCAATACCTAATTATTTTTTTAATCAATCTGTAACTATCATTATCAATTCGGTTTCCAGTCGATTTCGAATTAACAAATTCGAGACGCAATAGTCACGTCATAATATTATTATTATTAGATTTTTTTTTATAATTTATAATTTTTTTTTTTGCTTTTAAAAACACCTCAACCTCGGATTTGATCCAATACGCATGAGGGAGGTATTTGACTTAATTTTTTTTTTAACTTTAAATCGCATCTCGTAGAAAAATGCGTTAAATAATTATTTTAATTATAGTAATTATTATAAATTTATAGCGAAATGATCTAAAAAATTTTTTTACAGTACTCACTCTTTGAGTGGCAGTACTTATATCATTGAAATTGATTTTTAAAAAATGTACAATTTGCATTTTTTCTATATAAATTTGTCATAAGACATTTCTTTTACTTTAGTCTCAACACGTGAGCAATATTTTCTCTCTTTCTCAAACTCGAATTGATCACATAATCGCATATGAACTTGCGTCAATCGCGATACATTATTATTATTTAATAAAATAATTAAAAAAATTAAAAAAAATAGAAGAAAAAATTAAACAAAACGTAAAAGGACATTTCATAGCGCAAAAAAACAATGATTACCCCGTTGTATACATCACAAGTTAATCATTGTTTTTTTACCGCGGAAAACTTTCCTGAACCTTAATATAATAATAATAGTTTCACTGACTGTACACATTATAGACCAACAATAGAAGGTCTAATGGCACCTGAAGGTGCTTTATCTCTCAATCTTTTACAATAACGCATACATGCACACAGGGGGATGCACTTTAGATTTTTTTAACTTATTTCTAGACGCGCTTTTGACTAACCACATACATTTTTAACAATTTTTTTTTTTTCGTGGTCATTATAACGTCAGCTCATTCACATACATACATTCTTATAAATTTCAACGTACTTTCTTTCACGCTATTTTTTCTATACTCATTCCTATCGCTTTTATCAATTTTAAAAACCCGCCCCTATCCTTGCAGTGAGTAGTCTTTTCTCTTTATATTCCAATAAAAAACAAACAAACAAACAAAACGTTATTATTTTTTTTTTTACTCGAAAGACATTTTGCTGCAACAACCACAGGCTATCACGCATTTTTTTTTTTTTTTTTTTTTTATTAACCGCTTCTAACTTAAATACGAACCATCACAAGCCAAAAATTATCAACATCGCTTTTATATCACTTTTTTTTCTTACAAAAAAGAATTTTTTCCGAATTATCAATTTTTTTTTTTAACTATAATAATTTTTTTTTATAAACTTTAAGCATATTTGCGCGCTTTTAAACATCCTAAAATCACTCTCTCGCTTGGCAGTAAACAATGTGACAATGCAGTAGTGGTTACCTTACGATTAAGATATTACAATTAAATATTATCAATATAATAATAATAGTACGGGGTGGATGGGTGGTCACTCCGATGTAATAATAAAGTCCCAGTGGCACATCACTGTACAGTAAAAATCACAACAACTTTGCGCGCGGCGGACGACGGTGGTATGTGAGGAGTGTGTGGCATAAATATTTATAATAATGACGTGTTTTACTTTTTAACGTATCAACTATTTGTTTTTTTCATTTAAATTTTGTTTAGTTAGTTTTATATTTTTTTTTTTTTTTGCTATTAAATACGACCTCGCGCGCATTTACAATTTTTTATAATCTAATATTACAATTTTATAATTTTTTTTGTTTTTTTTTCTTAATATTTTTTCATTAAACATATTCGCTTGACGACGTATGAGAATCAAAAAAGTTACATTTACAATTACAAATATAATTGCGAGATAAGAAGCAGTATTTTGACGGATTGATGTTACACTTTAGTCGCTTAATTATAAAATAAAAAAAATTTTTAAATAAATTTTAAATTAAAATCTTCCTCTCTCGCCCACTAACAACAGATCATTCTTTTCATTCTCTCTCTCCTTCAAAAATCTCGCAGCCCTGACGACGAGCGAGAGGAAAGCTCGCGATTGAGCTTCAGATATTAATTTTTATTACAAATATTCTTAAGTTGCTTATAACAGAGCGTGTAGTTACGTCCATCAATATCATATTTTTTATTTATTATCTCTCTAAATATCATTATTATCATCATAATTATTAAGTTAAACTTTGTATCTCTTTGTTTTACTTTTGTAATGCTATTATTTTAACAATATTTTATTTGTTTTGCCTTATGAATTTTTGCACGTGGTCATTGAGGTCTATTTTAAACGCCTGTTGGCGCAAAAAAGTCCGTCATATTTTTTTTTTGTCCGTGAAATTACTTTTTAGATTAAAATATATATGTATATTTATATATAGATATATATATTTAATTTTTTTAGTTATTATTATTATCATTATTTAATATAAATCAGTATATTTCAATTCGATTGCGTGAATAGTTCACATTGTGAAAAATAACCGGCGAAAGTTAGCTCCACGAATTGTATGAATCTTGATACCATTCATGATCGTCACCAGTCGCGGCGCCTGTTGCCCCTGATCTATCAGTAAAACCGACGCCACCACTACCACCACTGCCACCACCACCACCACCACCACCACCACCGCCACCGTTTACACTCGCCAATCCGTACGTATTGCCCAGTGGTTGTTGGGCGAGGGGCTGGTTTCCCCAGCTGCTCTGGAAGCGACGTTTAGATTCCCCCTGGTTCTGGTGACCCCCGTCAAACTTTCGTTTACCTGCTGTATTCACAAAAAAAGAACAAATATACATTAAAAAACATGTTTCGTGAGAACTTATTTTCTTACAACTAAAAACTATTATTTAAGTATATTACAAAGAAAAAAATAATAATAAAAAATATTATTTTTTACCATGCATTAATCATTTCTATTATCTAAAATTCATGTTAAAAGATTAAATGTGAAACTGGTTACTTTGTAATTTTAAACTAAATAAGTAACGAGTTACAGACTTTAATATAAGAGAACAAATTGAAAATTTATGTTTCAATTAAAAACTAATTACTTGATCATTTTCTTGGCTCACAGTTGCTCTGGATCTACAGGATGTTTTGAAAGGGAAGGAGAATGAGTGTAATAAGTTAATTTATAGGTAAAGGTGTATGCCTAGGAAGCGGATAGCGTTTGGTGATTATTAAATAGTATCAACTGCTCAGCCAAGACTATAATAATTTTTAGCCGTGACATAAGTGAAGCTTATGAATATAGCTTAATGCTAATGTTAATTAATAATTATTAATAATAAAAAAAGATTGCTTGAGATACAGACCATCCTCACCTGGTAAACTTCCCTTGGCGCGGACCCCCCCACGAACGGCTGGCCGCTGGGCCCCACGGGCCCCTGATGTTGCGGGGTTGCGTCCCCCCCTGACTTGGCCACGGGCTTGGGGGCCACCGACTACTCGGCCACGGGCCACCTGTCCACGGCCACGACCAGCCTATCCAAACAACACACCTAATGTTACCCCATCTGCAGCTTATTTTTCATTACAACTCCTCTCCTCATTTATTTTATAATATAATTACTCCAATAATATTCTTAATATATTTCTCCGACTTTGTCTTATAATTTAAAAAATATCTTTAAATGCTCTCTCAGTATCGTTTTCTATTTTATTATTCAAGTTATTAAATAATAATGATAATTAAAAGAAGAACCTTGAGCTTTCTAACGCATTTTGTTCTTCGATTTTTTAATTAAAATTTTTAAATTTATCTATCAATTTAAATGGCACTAATTTATTAAATATTGTTAATTACATCCTGACGATTATATTAATAATGGACTAAGGAGGTTTTAGTTATAATTGCGCGACCCATAAGCACATTTACAATATTTAAAGAAAAAAATAATAAAATTGTAAATAATAATAATAATAATAATAATAATAATAGAACAGATTACAGCGGTGCGGAGAGTTTGGCGACAGTATATAAGACAAAAAATAAAATCAAAATACATAATATTAATTGTTACATTTAATAAAAGCGATTAGCGATAACTAATTAGCATTTAAAACAAAAAAAAAAAAAAATATTACTAACCGAATGATAGTACTATTTCAATTGATTGTAATTTTTTTTTTTTATATTATTATTTGGTTTGGTCATATTGCATACAGCAGGATTAGTGGGTTATCCAACACACATAACATGTGTCAAAAGCGTACATTGGCGAAGGATTTTTAAGCAACTACTGCACTGCTAGCTAAAACAAAAGTCTAGTTATAAACAATAAAAACAAAAAAAAAAAAAATAAGCGGCGGTTAAGCAGAATTTATTAGTCACTCTGTGCGCAATAAGCATTAGTTATTCATATATATTACTGCTGAAGCAAGCGAGAGAGCGTGGTTGTGTAATTTGCTTAGCAATTTATTGTTATCATCGTTGATATTTATTTCCTATATTACAATAATGCACAAGTGTCACTCCTTTCTCATTCCCTTTCTCCATAACACCTGGTTGTACCTAATTTTGTTAATACATACAAAACAAAATAAAGTAAATAAAATAATTAAAAATTATATTAATAAAAAAAATAATAATAAAAAGTTAATTCGTTAATAATGTTGAGGGATAATTATTAAGATGAATCTCCAAGGATCAAGCCAAGGTCTTCAGGCTAAACTGGATAAAAATTACGAAAGACTTTTCCTGAGTAAATTTACAAGTAGACAATATAATAATAATAATAATAAAACTAATAAAATTTGTTTGAAGATACTCGTTGAAAGTTACTTTACTTTACTTTTAAAATAGTGAGTTATTAATCAAGACAAAAAAAATATAATGAAAAAGTAAAAAGAAAAACTCCTCAGGAAAAGTTTTTCATTTTCTGTGAGTTGAATAAGAAAGACAAATAACACGATGAAATACTGCCAAAGGCCAGCTTCCTACTTGACGTCCATCAGGGATTACCTGAAACTTGAGACTAAGAGGAAGGAAACAGAAGGCAGAAAGAAAGAGTTTGTTATTAAGTGCATCATATCCGAGCCACGAGACGCTCTTTAATGTCGTGCGAATACTTGATTGCTTTTTTGGTTTATTTTTTTTTTACAAAAGCATAAGAAAAAGATTTCAACGGGATTTTTAATATTTTAGTAAAGATTAAAAGCTATTATTTTATTTTTAGTTAATGCTTGCGTTGGAATTATTTTTACTTTTTTTTGCATTTAAGGAACTTGATAGCGTTACAAAGGATTTATTGTTAATAACTATTTGTATTGAGATTTGTTAGATATTAAAAGCGTTACTTAGGAGACCACAAATGCACACAGGAAAGTGGAAAATTCTTTGCTAGTATCCCAACACACATGAAAAGGCTTCGTTACTTTTTTCTTTCTTATTTAAGAAAATACAAGTTGCCTAAGGGATTTATCTGTTTTTTTTTTTTATTTTTTTATTTTTAATACTTTTAGATTTTTTTTCTCTCGTTGAATTTAACTTTTGGTCTCCTTTATATGAATGTTTGTTTTTCTTTCTTATTCATTAAATGATTTATTTTTTTCCTTCTCTTTGTATTTTTTATCCCGCAGATTAAAAAATTTTAAGCTTTCCCCGGTTTTAAATAAAATTTTGAAATGGGTCTAGCATGGCTCAGATATGATTCACGCAAGCAATTTGAAAGTGGCAATGTATTCGGGGGGGGGGGGGGGTGTTTATTATTATTATTACTATTGCCCAAATTTTACTTATATTATAAATATTAAAAATACAAGTATATATATGAATATAATTGTAAATTTAATAAAAAGTTAGTTGATCAAGTAAAAAGTTTAAATAGAGTAAAAAAGGACTCATTTTTTCAATTTGTTTCAGTCTTGATTCCTTTTTTTTTTTTTCACAGCCTCACACCGCTCTTTGCATAACATTAAAAAAAAATTGCAGTTTATTTACATGTGCGTGAATAAATTGATGATAAAAAATAAACACAAGGCAAGTGAAATAGTAAGTGAACTAAAAAGTAGCAAAAGAAAAATTTGATTAAATTGTGAATTAATAATGAGTAATAGTATTTAAATATATGTGTAATTATTTAGCAAATAAAATACACATGAAAATTAAAAAAAAAAATAAATATAAGAATAAGATAAATTATGGAAACATATCATCACAATCCCTTGCGTTTTGTGTTAGTGGATTGCACGAAGCGAGCACAAATCGTACAAGTATTAATTAGCAATTGTTAAAGTTTGCTTTTTTGTACGCGATAAAATGAAGAAAAACAATAATGATAATAATAATAATAATAATAATAATAGTGAAAAATAGGCGTGAAATTTGTTAAAGTTATAATAAAGTGAACTGAAAATAGTTAATAAGTAAATGTGGACGCAATTATAAAGAGTATGAAATAATAATTAGGATTCCGCGAACACTGTGCCACAATCAAACTACCGCTGAAGTAAATTTAATTAAAATTTTAAATATTAACTTGTAAAATTAAATTTAAAGTAAATAAATTTCTCAAAGAACAATAAAATTTAAAAATTAATAAAAAAAAATAATTAATGATTTTGATTTTTTTGATAAAACTTGTTAAAAAAGGCGACCCACCGGTTGAGGCTGCCTGCCCCTCCCTCTGGCAGGCGGCGGAGGCGGCGCATAATCGAAATAGTAATCTTCGTATCGATAATAGTCATCGTAATATGGATCACTGTAGCCACCTCGATAATCCCCATAACCGTAATAGTCGTAATCATAATCTATAAAAACACACATTACAAATAGACCCAAATTTAGCCACGAAAGAATTATAAATTCCAATTTCAACAAGAGAAAGAAAAAAAAAAGGGAAATTTAAATAATTAAATTCTCTATTTAGTGATTACAGTTCATTGTTATCATATCATTGTAACAATAACTTTAATCATTTATTTTTTTGTACTTAAAAATGTAATCAGAAAACAAATTTGCATGCCGGGAAAAGATAATGTTATATAAATTACGTTATGAATAATATGCTGGTAAAGTTATTGAAGGAAATATGAAAAGAAAATAATTATTTTTTTGAAAGTTATTGGCAAAAAAAAAATTAGAGAAAATTTTATTTGTACAAGAGAATATCCAATAGATATTTTGGTAACGATGAGTAAAATTTTTTACCTATGCAGACGTTTTGCAAACGCAACGATTTTTACAAGGCATTGCCCTGTAGAACTGACGTTTGCAAAACCGGAAAATAAGGAAAGAATTCTACGCAACATTAAACCAGTATTTTTGAAGTATGTAATTGAAGATCATAAAGATATATATATATATATATATATTTTTTTTGTTACATTTTAAGGAAAACCTTGCAACAATTACCCTGCCACCATTATTATTTAAAATGCAAGTTAATTAAAAAGGAAATGGAACGATTAAACTAAAACTAATTTTACCGCAGTCTTAAGAATCTTTGGTAGAGTAGATCAAAATAGAAAAATATATATTGGTGAATAAAATTTAATAAAGATGAGAATAAATAAAATAAATTGTAACTATCTACAGCTTTGCATTCGTCATTCAAAATTTTGCCGCTTACCTATTTCCTTGAGAGCTGTAAAACAGATTTGTTGAATTGGTTGTCGAATTATATTCAATTATCATTTTAAGAATATATAACAAAAAAAATTACACACTCTTATGTAAAAAAATTCATGGGATTATAAAATAATGTTCTACGATAATTAAAATAAAAAACTAAAACAAAAATATTCACACTAAATTCATAGATTAATTACTACCAGTTCACCAATAAAATTAAAAAAAAAAATAAAAACGTTATGTTTGTAATAAAAAATTTTAAAACAATAATAAAAATAAAAGAGTTGTAGACATGCTTTATAGTTTTAGTTATTGGTGATTAAAAATGTTTTTTAGTGAAGTGTAATGTGTAACAAGGTATCCCTTTTGTGTTTAAAATGGCTTTACAAATGTAAGTCTTCAATGTCAACGATAACTTTTCTACTGGAGTTTATTATTAATTTACATGGCATGATAATGTATTTAAATGCTTTTACAGTAATGAAAAGGAAGTATAATAATGTAATGGATAAAATGAAATGAATTCTAGTCCGGATTCATAAATTATATCTATCCTAACTCTAAAATAATGTCCAGTTTATTCACACTTAAAAAAAAAAAAAAATAAAAGAAAGAGAAATAACACTGGAAACAAAAAAAAAATAGAATATATGTATAGTTGAATTAAAAAAAAAAAATGTTGTTTGTCATGCGCGAAAGCCAAAGGTTTGTTGTGAAATAAGTGAAGATCCCAAGAGCATGCGGGACTTTTTTTCAAGTTAAATTTATAACTTAATTAAAATATATTTTGTTAAAATTAAAAAACTGCTGAGCTCTTATTAATAGAATTTGATTAAAATATCATAAGATTATTTTTTTTTTATAATCACTTGCGAGCAAAAAATTTAGCGATCAATAAAAATTTAATTCAAACAATAAAATAAACTATGATTCTCTTTAAACAAATAAATATAAAATTAATCTGTTTTTTTTTGTAAATATATAAATAAAACGGAGATATATAATAATAAATCAATAATGATTAACCGATACGAGAGTTTGGCAAAAATAAACTGTTAAAAAAATAACTAATAATTCTCTGTGTTTTGTTGAACAATAAAAAATAATATCAAAAATAAACTGATTGACATTAAATTATTCATTACGAAAACTGAGAACTAATAAGATGCAGTTACTCACTGTAGTCACCGCGACCCATAGGTGGTCTCATACTGCCCGAAGTGCCTCGAGGACCGCCACTTTGTCCGGATCCTCGTACTGGCATGGGTCCGCTTATCATACTAGGATGCGATGGTGAGCCTCTATATTATGTAAACAATAAATTTCCATTAATTTATTATTGATTTCCAAGGTAAAAATAAACTAAATTTACAAAACAATAATCGAAGGCTAAAAATAAAATAATATTTACCCTCCACGGCCTTGTAACATTTGCATCATTCTTCTTTCCCGAGCTCGTAACATATCTTCTTTTTTCTTTTTATCAAATGGTGGTTTCGCCAATGCTACTTCTATGTGAGAACCGCCTATTTCCTTACCGTTAAGTTCTCGCATTGCCTAAGATGGAAAATAAAATAATTATAATGATGTTTAATGAAATAATAATTAATTTAAAAAAATATTTATAAAATAATATACCTTGACTGCATGATCTCTGTCTTCAAAATGTACAAATGCGTAGTCCTTGATTTTCTTCACCCTGTCGATTTTACCGAATTCTTCGAAACATTCTTTCAGTTTTTCTTCAGAACAATCTTGCGTTAGGTTCCTTACATACAGCACTCTTACCTGTAAAAAAAAGTAATAATTTAAATAAGCAAATAATTTATAAAATCAATATTGTTTAAATTGATGTCAGTAATAACTTACTTTAGCCATAGTTTGTTCATCAGGTTCCTCTTGAGGATCAGCCCAGTCAACTATAATATCACAGCCCCAGACCTTGATGCGACCTGTGCTGAGTCTTCTTTTCGCCAGAGAAGCTGATTTATGGGATTCATATTCCAAAAAACAGAATCCCCTATTCTTCTTTTTGTCATCTGGCGAGCTGTAGATAATCACCTCGGTCAAGCCAGCTACAGTTTGGAAAATCATAAAACAATATATAAACGAGATATCCAATTTTGTTAAAAACTAAAAAAAAAATGCTTTGGTCGTTTTTTTTTTTTTTATTTGGTCACGATCCCGGAGGTAAATATAAAACGCGATTGAAATGAAATTATTTTTATACAAAACTCGAAAATCAATCTCTAAATTTTTTTACTTAATGAATTGATAAATTTTTCGCGAATTCGCATTTTTCAATATAATAAAATAAAAATGACTCGAAAAATTGAAAATATATTTATATTTAAATTAAAATTTATTTTAGATTTTCCGCATGTAAAAGAAAAATTTGACTTTTTTCTGTCGCTATCGATGAATTTTAAATAAACACGAGGCCGCAGAATAGCCATAAGTTTCAAGCAAGAACGACACAAACTTTATTCGTCAGTGGTAAAAATAATTTATCAAAGTCGCGGACTCAGTAAAAATCATGTTTGTAGATCAAGAAAAAGAAACAATTTTGATTTTTAAAAAAAGTACTACCACATGCATTATTTAGTCGTTCGTGCTTCCTTTTATCTCGTCTCTATACTGCGACTTTTATTTTATTTATTAACCTCTCCTTCCTCTCAGTTTAAAAGCTAAACTTTGAATAATCGTTCTTTAGTTACTATTTTTTAATATTTATAAAACTAATAATATTTATTTATGAAAACTAAAATTTATTTTATATTATAAAGTGCAACGATTTTATATCCTACGACTACTGACGTCCGAGTGAAGAGTAATCATAAAAATGATGCGAATATAAGCTTCCACCAAGAGAACAAAAATAATAATAAAAGAGGGTATAGAAAAAAAAATATAATCCCCGGTACAATTTACGGCGTACTGTCTGTCGCAGCAATAAAAAATAACATTCTCGGCATTACCCAAAGCTTTTTCTCTACAAAATGCACCCAAATCATTTTTGCAATCCTCATTTAAATCTAGTTACAAATATTTTTTTTTTTTTTTATTTCATGTTCAATTATATTTATTTTTCTTTAAATAAACACACAGTGCACACTCCATTGTGAGAGACCAGAAATAAGATATTTATAAAGTAAATAAATAAAAATAAAAATGAAAACAAATAAAAGTGTTTACATTCTAATGACGGCCTCTCTGTGTCCAGACTCTGAGAGTTTTCATGCATCCTAATTATTTAAAACTCTCTTTGATTCAAACCGATTAATCAAAAGTATATTACATGTTTTATAAAATAAAATATGTATTTATACAAATAAATAAATAAAAGACACACTCCCAAGCAGCTATAAATTAAGAAACACAGTTTGTGATAAATGGTAAAAAGGTGTAATGAAAAAAGAATAGAAATGTTTCAAGAAATTTAAAAGAGAGCCGAAAAATAATAAAATAATAATAATTATAATAATAATAATAATAATAATAATAGTAGTAATAATGTCATGTTAATGAGTTTTAATGGATATAATAATAATTTTGTCAATGTTTCTGAAATTCTTAGTTTTAGTTTGGAAGAAATAGTTAGTTATGTGGGCATAGTGATGATTGAGTTTAAAAATTATTTTTAAAAGGGTAAATGCTTTATTCTCACTCACGCTGACTCATTAATTAATTAATTAATGAACTTATCGACTCTAGTGTTCTTGTTAATTGGTTATTAACAACTTCTTTAAAAGTTATAAGTGAATGTCGAGTATTACAGATACAAAGCTTTATTGTGGACTAGAAATAGTTGTGTGGTATTAGATAGAATAAAGTAAATGAAAAAAAATATATATACATTTATATATATTAAATAAATAGTTAATTGATGGATAAATAATTATAAGGGCTGCGTATTGTTTGCCTGGAGCCCTTGTTTCTAACTGGTTTTGGTTAATAAATTAATTAAAAAAATGTATAAATAAATAAGCCCAATCGAAACCAAGGTCCAAGGCGAGTCTCTCTTTCACTTTAGTCACTTATTCTTATACTCTTCATCCTCCCTATTTTAAATTTATTCATTATCGTTCACTTTTTATTCATCAATATGATTATCTACATTCACTCACAGCAATCACACACCAGCCATACAAGTCCTTCTACTCACGCTTTCATGTCTAAAAAAAAAATAAAAAAAACATTAACTTTTTCGCTCCGGTAAAACTCTGCCTGCAGATTTAAGGGCAATTTTCAACTTACGTGCGTGCTTTGTAAACTCTTCGAACAAGTCATCTCGGTCTCGATTCTTTGGAATATTTCCCACAAACAAGCGGTGATTGTTATAAGATACGGTAACACCAATCTTTTTGCCTTTCCGAATCTCATAATCATTCAGCTGTAAGAATAATGTGGAAGGAGAGTGCCAATTAAGCTTACTCTTTTTAAACTGATTCACGCCTGCTTATTGGCTGACTCGAGCGTGTTTATGTTTTTTTTTTTTCTCATTTTTAAAACATTTTTTTTTTTTTTGTATTTTTGGTTAATTGTAAAATTTTTGAAATAAATAAATAGGGTGGAAGGGTAGAATAACGCGTCAAGTGAACCTTCGAGGAATATTTGTTTTTGTTTATATATTATATTATTTATATATAAATTATTAATGAGTTTGTCAGAGATGGAGTGAGTTGTTAAGAGGCTTTGTGGGAAAGATTGGTAAGTCCGCGAAGAATTAGAGTGATGGAGTAATAATAGGATTTAAAAATACATAGATACTGGTTTACAATTAATATAATTATCAATAATTTTTAGTTAGTTGAGTATGTATATGATATGATGGGGATTCCAGAGATTACTATTTTAATGTCCTCAAACATGACTGTGGATGTGATAGCAGTTGAATTTTGATTTAAGTAAATTAATTTATTGATGATAATTGAGAACGTATGGAGGTTGTGGGTGGTTGGGAGTGCCTGTCCGTTTGTTAGCGAGCCACACGCCCTAGCGGTCCACACAGGTCTCCCGTACCCCCATGCTCGAGGCTTAAGTCATGAATAACATTTTCATATTTTTCATAGCCAATTATTATTATTATTGTAGATACAAAATGGCTGTAGCTCACGGACAATTGTCAATCGATTTGCAATAAAATTTAATTTTAAAAAATATATCAATAAATAAACAAGAAAAAAAATGATAAAAACAATTAATAAAAAAATAATAATAAAAAAAAAAAAAAAAAAAAAAAAAAAATTACATCTATAAAACCGATGCTGAAATTTTAATTTCTAGTTTTTGTTATTTTCTGATAATTACTCTTAATGCGTTTGTCTCAGAGAACGGCATTGGGAAAAGAAGGAAATTGGTAGAACAGCTAAGTAATGACAGTCGTAGGTAAGAAAGAGAGAGAGTGAGATGGAGAAAAAAAGAGAGCATAAATAAACTAGTAGTAGCAGTACAGTAGTGATAAGTAGTAACAAAAGGTAATAGTAAGACTAGATAGAAAATGATATAGTGAATAGCGCAAGTAGTGACAGTCGTGGCTGACAATACAACAACAGTAGTAATTAATTATTGTAAGATAACAAAAATGGCTGTAGCTCACGGAACAAATTGATCAACGATTTAGCAAATTAAAAATTTAATTTTAAAAAATATAATACATAAATAAACAGAAAAAAATGAAATAAAAACAAATTAAATAAAAATAAAAATAATAAAAAAAAAAAAAAAAAAAAAAAATTACATCTATAAAACCGATGCTGAAATTTTAATTTCTAGTTTTTGTTATTTTCTGATAATTACTCTTAATGCGTTTGTCTCAGAGAACGGCATTGGGAAAAGAAGGAAATTGGTAGAACAGCTAAGTAATGACAGTCGTAGGTAAGAAAGAGAGAGAGTGAGATGGAGAAAAAAAGAGAGCATAAATAAACTAGTAGTAGCAGTACAGTAGTGATAAGTAGTAACAAAAGGTAATAGTAAGACTAGATAGAAAATGATATAGTGAATAGCGCAAGTAGTGACAGTCGTGGCTGACAATACAACAACAGTAGTAATAGTAATAATAATTATAGTAAGACAACTTCTATGTAATATAATAATAATAATAATGATAAACTATAAGTGAGAGGAGCGGTAGTAGTAGTAAGTAGTAGAAATAGCAGTGATAACGACGATATAGTCCGACTGACCGCATTTTTGTGAAATAAAATAATATTATTATTATAGTAAAAGTAATAATATGTATGTAAGAAGTAGACATAGTAGTATTAGAGACGAGCAATTTCTGCGTAATACATCGTATAAAGCAAATAACTCATAACTCAACCTATATATTTATAAGAGGAAAAGAAGACTTGGACCAGAGAGGTGTTACTGTTCACTAATAAACCGAGAGGCAAGGAGGCTGACTAAGAATCGAAGGTGTCACAATTCAATAATTATAATTATAATAATAGTATTAACATATAAATAATAATAATTATGATAATAATAAATATAATATAAAATATAATAGTTGAATAAGATCACGTGATCGTGTAAAGGCTCTCGATAGATTTGTCTTTGTTCCATACCATCTACAACCACTACTTAAAAGCTACCACTCTTATATTACAAATGAAAAAAAAAAAATAATAAAAAAATTAAATAAATTAATTTAAAAAAAAAAAAAAAATAATAAAAAAAAACAGGTAGACAGGTAGGTATAGGTAAGAGGTGTAGGTAGGTACACACGCCTCGAATTCACTTTACCTGTTAAATTACCAAATTCGTCCAAGATCTCCTCTTTGCCTTTTGACTTTGGTATGTTCCCGACGAAAAGTCGTAGATTAGGAACGCTAATGTTTACTTTCAGACTCTTGCCGGGTTTTATTTCGTAATTATCGAGCTGTGGGATGAAGAAAAACAAACACATGCCTAATTTTGTTCCAATGATATTCGTAATAATGCGTTAAATAATAAAAAAAACAAAACGTGCGAATTCAATTCGCGATTAATTTAGGAAAATATATAATTAATATATGATTAATAAAATAAGTAAAAATAAATTAAATTTTTTTTTCTTTTTTTCGAAATAAATAAATTTCGATTGTCAATTGGCATGACCCAGGCTCATATTTTATTTTGTATAAATATATTCTTTTAATTTTTTTTTTCAATGAGCCGGGTGACACGTGGCATGCGATTTGGTTGCTCGATTCTTCACACTATAGCAAACCGACGTTTACGCGCAACATCCCTGTAAACAAATTTATGTACCTTCGCGATATTTTTTCGTCACTGTCCAAATTGCGAACCAATTAGATTTTTACCCTTAACCAATTTATGTTTTTTTTTGTTCTTTCTCATTCAGCAATAATATTTCTTTCCCTTTTATTAAATTTTTTTTTTTTTTTATACTTTGAGATACTTTTTGGATTTAGATTTTTCTTAATCGATCAGGAAGGTTCTCCACTCCCAATTTTGCCCACTGAGCAAAGAGGAGAGCTGGAAAAAGAAACTCATCCACAGGACATTTGATTAATAACATCTGTCACTGTTATCACGTATCTTGGGAGTTATTGGAAGTTGTCACTAAGTGTAATTCAAACATGAATGAATGTTTAAAAGGGAAAATATGAATGGACATGTTGTACAGTATCCATATGCATCAATATATGTATATTCATATTCATATACATATAATATCAGTTACTAGTAATAAATAATATTTAATGCATATGCATACTGTACACACTGATTATTAAAATAAATTATATATGTGTATGTGGCGTTATTGTGCGGACTTTTATTTGATCTGTGGATCCATGAACATTGATACTTGAACTCCTTAAAGACAATTGAAGTCACAACTAAATCTTTATCTGTCAATATTTATATTTATGATATACAATTGAACATGGAACCACGTTATATCTGCATTCTTTTGATTTTTTTTAACGAACTAAAAAAACTTAATGGTATAATTTATTCAAATAATTAAGAAACACAAGTTTAACTCAAAAGAATGCAAATAGCATCAATATTAATTTTGAATGATAATAAATTCTTTTGTACAAAAGAAATTAATTGAAGGATATCCAATTGGTCCGTTATGGCAATTTGTTAACTACAGGATAACGAAAGTTTGATAAATGTTATGGATGAAACGTTATAAAACTAAAATCTAGATTAAAAATTAATAATTAAAAAAAAACATTAAAAAAAAAAAAGATAAATAATAAAAAATAGGATCTCTCTGACATAAGAAATAATGAACATACCTCTCTGACAGCTTGTTGTGCGGCATCTCGATTAGTAAATGTAATGAAGGCATATCCTCTGTTGGTACCGGACATGGGATCCATCATAAGCCTCAAATCCCATATTTTACCGCATTTTTCAAAAAGCGGAATCAATTCATCTTCATACATGTCTTTAGGTATCTTCCCACAAAATACCTGCAAGATGGAAAGTAAAAATTTAATTAAATTCAATCAATTGTTTATTTATCTATTTTGTATAACTGATTTAAAAATAAAAAAAATCACTATCGATATAAAAATAATTTTAAGTGTAATTATTTTAATGATTACGTACCTCACAACCATTTCCTGGAGTTGGGCCCTCCCAATTTGGAGGCGGGCCACCGTATTTTCGTTGTCCAGTGGTCACATCGAGTGGATATCCGGTTCTCTCGAGTATCATCTATAACAATAAAACCCCTCGTGAATTATTGAAAATAAAAATAAAACTATGATTCATGAATAATTGCTAAGAGAAAATTACGATAAAAAATAATAAATAAGTAAAACCCACTTTAATTTTGTCTTCATCCGGAGCTTTAGGCGTTGTACTAGTGCCCGTTCCCTGGCCTGCCCTGCTTTTTTGTCTGTAGGTCTTCATAACTCCGCAAAGATACGCCGATTTGTTGGACACATGTTCCAAATTAGATTCCAAAAATTGCGTGAGAACATTTAACGCTCCGTCAACAGGAAATTCCCTCAGGGCATCCAGGGCTCTTTCATCGAGATCAACATGGGCGAGTTTCCCAGTTTTGTAAATTTCATCTAGTTTAGCAGCCACTTTTTCATCGAGTCCATACTGTATGAGTTTCGCGAAATCCTCCGTTCTTTCGACGTACTCCATTTCCTCCTTAGACTGCTTTTCTTCCATTTTGAGTTCCCCATTTCCCTCGGCCATAGCTATTACAAAAACAACAACAAAAAACATAACATTAAACAAACAATAAAATCATTTTTTATTTAATTGTTGCTAATCTAATTAAATTCTTCAACACTCTCTCTATCAATATTTATTTATATGTACATATACGTATTTTATCTTAATTACTCCATTATCATTATCACTCGCAATATTTATAGATGTATAAAATATATATATATATATATATAAACACGTATATAAGAAGATAAAAATTCTACCGAAAAATAATACCAGACTGTAACGCTTTTAAAGGCCGTCTGATGACAATTTGTATCTGCTAGTGTCTCTTACAGCTCACGCACAAAGGCCCTAAATAATTTAAATTTCCTCCTAATAAATTTTTTTACTTCCGAAGAACGAAAGAGTTAAAATAGCTTTTTAAGGTTATGTACGCTTTATTCTTTTGCAAACTGAACGTCAATAGTAAATCGACGCACTTCAAGACCAAGTGCATCTTGTGCATTGTACATACGATACACACACATATAAACACGCATCCACACACGCGAGACAAGACCTGACGCGCATAAAAAAAAAAAAGAAGATAAATATTCAGCTAATTTTTTTTCGCTCCACGCTTAAAATTTTAATAATAACCACAATAAATTATTCAATAAAACTGATTAAAATTGATAACCTGATAATTTTACTCTAAAAATAAGTAAAAAAAAAACCGTGAAGAATGGATCCGTATTAATAGCAAAAAATCCGTCGACGCACAGAGGATCCGTCTGAGAGATCGCAGACTTCCTTTCTTTTTCTCTCTTTTTTATCTCTCCCCGCTTCTCCTTCCCGAAGTACACGAAAAGAAAGGAAATAAAAAAAAACTTCATATAATATGCGAGCGTCACTTTTCCCGCGCTCGCGCCACGAAAGTGGGAAAAAAATTTCAGTTCAAACGGCGTGTAGACGGAAAAACTTGAGCACACACGAGTTTGCCGGTCGCGAATTCACACGTTAGATAAATATATATATATATATATGTAGATATATATATACATCAGCACATTGATAACACCTATATTTAACTTTTACAACAACCGTAGTATCTGTAACAAAAGAAGATTAAAAATTACACCAGATTTAGCACAACATTTATAAATATTATAATTTTTTAAAAAATATTACCGAGTAACAAAACAGAGTAGAATTGGAGTTTTAAAACAAAATAAAATGATATATTAACTAAAAACAAAAAAATATCACTGGCACTAACCACGTCGTCAATGTGCAAACGTAGTATGGTTCGCAATTTATAAAACTTAAAATAATTTTAACAACCAACAACCAATTCTATTCACTAATGGCGAACGTTTAACATAAAACAGCACCAACCGGTAAAATGAAGCGACAACTTAAACTCGGCGTGCTCTGGTTGTTCATCCAAAAGCAGCGTATGTGTACTCGTCACCTTAGGAATGCAATTGCACCGTGTGCACTCTGATCCGTTGGCTCGTTGCTGCGTTTCACCTGCCTCGCCGCGCGAGCGCGTCCCCGCGAATTTCTACGGTACGACAGTTCCGTAACTCCGTTCTCTAGTCTCTATGCTACTCTGTCTTTTTTAACTTTTCTATATTATAATATGTAATATATATTATATATACATATATATATATACTTTTTTTTATTAATTCCTTTTCTATCTCATTCGCCTATGTCTATCTACTTCTATCTTAACTGGTTCTATCGCTCGCGTTTTTGTTCTCGCTCCCGCTCGTAAGTTTTAAATTTTTCAAGAATTAAAAACCGACAATACCGGGTGTGTAAATAAAAATATCAACATTTTACAATTTACCTTTTCATAAAATACAATTGCACTTAATTTAAATAAGATAAAAAAAAAATTTTTTTTATATAAATATAATTATAAATAATATTGTTAATTTTTTCTACACTCTTCTCTTCGTTTTCTGCGGGGAAATGGCGACAGAGGAGAAGAGAAGAATGGCAAACGTTGTATATATATAAATATGAACCTGTATTATTTATATGTTTGCATGTGTGTATGGATATATATATATATATATATATATATAGGGAGTACGTAGAGCGAAGACGGGGGACGGGAGACGTCAAAACGTGATCGCGAAACTTATGCACGGGGTCCACAAAGCGACGCGCAAAGAGATACGCTCGAACCCAGAGGTCCCTACAGTCGACTCTACCACACAGCAGCAGCAGCAGCAGCAGCCACCGTCGTCGTCGTCGTCGTCGTCGTCGTCGCCGCCGTCGTTGCCGCGCCACTGCTGGTTGGCCATTTTCATGTTAGTCTGGCTGGCTCGTCAAGCACGCCTTCTCATTGGCCCGTGCGAAAACCCCAAGAAGAGTGCAAAAGTAAAATAAAAAATAATAATAATAATGACGATGATGATGATAATAATAAAATAAAATAAGAATAAAATGAACTGAAAGAGACGAAGAAGGAGAAGGAGAAGGAAATAATAAAAGAAGAAAAAAAATAACAAGAAGAATACGAAGCGCGGCGGCCAACGAATATGACTGAGCAGGAGGGAGCGAGAATAAAAAAGAGACGAGTGTATAGAGAGTAGATTACCAGGCGCGCAACACATGCAGTCTGGGGCTCTTTGCGAACAACGAACTGGGGGCCCCGTCGTCCGATGCACTCGAGGCCAAATTTCTTAGTGTATTGCATGCCGCGGTTAAAAACTTCTCCCTTTACCGGGCGTCTCTCCCTATGGTCACCCTCTAACCCAACAACCAAAGCTTCGTATTCGAGGTTTTATGCACTTATACATTTATTTCGTTCGTTCTTTCTTTCTTACCACCACCACTACTACTAACAGCCAACGTTTTTAAATTCGTTCGCTCTTGTCGAGTCTTTTCAATGTATGTAATGTATGTATGTATATCGTCAATGTTTGTGTTCAGTGGAATTACCACGCTGTACACTGATAACCGCGTGAGAACGAGCAATGCTATTTTACAAAGAATCTTTTTATACATTTTTACTAATTTTTAGCTTCAATGCTACAATTTTTTTTTTTTTTTTTTTTTTTTTTTCTTTCATTTCTTCTTTACTCCAGAAATCATTCTTTCTCACAATAGTCGGCTAAAATTTTTTAAAACCGCCATTAAAATGCGATTGGAGCAAAAATAATAAAAAAAAAGTAATTACCAGTAGTTTTGTACTCTACGGTGAATTTAGGTATATTCTTCTCGGAATACTTTAGCAGAAACTATCAGACATTTATAGCAACTGAAAATAATTTATTTAATGGTAAATTTTTTTTTTTTAGAATTTAATGTGAATTTTTAACGAGAATATTTGCGAGTAAATGAAGCAAAAATAGCATAAGGTGGAATTCTTAGAAAGTGAAAGTAGTTATGGTATGGATTGTTGAGAATTGCAAGGCGAGCAAGCATGTAGTGTGGTAGTCTGGCTTAAAGTATTTGTAGTAGTGGCTGTAATGATAAGCCAAGTGGAGCTAGTAGTAGTTGTTGTCGTAGTCAGTCGTTGTCGTAGTCAGTCGTTGCCGTATTTAAAAGTATATACACTACTACTATCTACTATGTACTTGTATTCGCGAATAGCGAATACGAATATAAGTTTAGAGAGTGCGTCGATAAACAAGAGAGTCTGGAAGTAGAGAAGGACTTGCGGCCAGACGGCGAGCGAGAGAACACCAACGAGAAACGAACGATTACTCAGTTACTTACTCACTCGCTCTTACATTCGCTGGCTCCCTCGCTCGTTCGCCGTCGTGTCGCTGACCGGACGTATTTGCACATAACCTTGCGAAAATTGCAGACGTCGGGAGGAACCGACAGTAAGAGAGAGCCAGAGCATAAGATTGAGAGAGACGCGACTACTCGACGATAAGGATAAACGAATTTACCAGACGGGCCTCGCCGCTTCTAAAATTAATGGCGAAGAATTTGCGCGCGCAAATAAAATATATATATATATATATGTATGCATGTAAATATGTATGCGAGTAAGTATCCGTGCATTTAACGTATATGTACAAATACAAATACAAATGTATGATTAAGTGTGTGATTATAAGTGTATGTATGCACTTTGTATCACACTAGTGAAAGTATTTAGTAATTAAATATACCTGATTGATTATGATTATGAATTTTTTTTTTTTTTTTTTTTTTTTTTATGAATTTATTTTAAAATTGATAAAAAAATTTCTTCCAGTTTTTAAAAATATTTTTCTATTTGATTTTTGGCGGAGCAGAGCACCCAAATCAACACACTGCGATGCACGTTGATGATAGTCACGAAATTTCAAGTATTGTCCGCTGTGTGCGGTACATATTAACACGTTCGACGAGCCACAGTATTTTAATTGACAATTTTTGAAAAATAAAAACGTAAAACAGAACACTTGAGATAATATTAATAACTTGAGCTTCTCCTGTCCTCAAAACTTTTGTCCCGATAACTTTTTTACGTCACGAGTCACCAAAAATTATAATAAAAATTAACAACAAAAAAAAAACACTGAGTAAGTTGATAAATCCAGTCGATGCTGAGTAATTTCACTGGCACGTCGAAGCTTTTAATTTTAACAAACAAAAATTTTATTTAAAAAAAAAAACAAACGTTTAAATTTATTTTTTTTCTTTCAGAGTTTTTGGTGAACAATAACGTTGATGATAAACTTCCGAAGATATGATGATTTTAAAAATCCTCTTCCAAGTGTGTAGTTTGTCCAAATGAAGATGATGATGATGATGATAAATAATAATATTATAAATCCAGGCACTTTGAAAACGTACTTGATTGTTAATATATATTGCAGTGAGTTAACATATATATATATACGTATATGTATATAATATATAAGTGTGGCACAAAGTCCAGGGCACAGCAGTGGTGTTTTTTGGGTAATAATCCTGCTCTCTCGTGTGGTGCCTACATAGCCGTGTGATGCATAAATTGGACTGTCGCCGAGAGAGCGGTGCAACGATGCAAGCCCCCGCGAAACGAAACCAGTTTGCCCGCTTGGGCTGCCACGGCAAGGCAAGGAGTTGCGCCCCAATCCAATCCGATTCAACCGCTGGTTCTCTTTCGCGGTATATACGACGAGCCCCGCCTTTACCAGGGCCGTGCCAATTTCTTATTCGCACCTTTGTATCGCGAAAAATTCATTAAGACCAACCTCCTTTCCCTTCCAGTAATTTTCAGTACCTAACAGCATGTTAAACTTTACCTAAAATTTCTTTATTACAATTTTCAAATAAATAAAATTCATTTAAACATTAAAACTATCCTTTTCGCAAAAATTTTATAAACAGACACTCTGTCTACTTCAGTGGTCCCAGCGTACTGAAATTTTTTAAATCTACACATGCTTATAACTTAATAATTCAAATTCACATAGTAATTTGCTATAAATAAGTATTAACGAAAACGAAAAACTAAACAAATATTTAAAATCCAAGATCAAGATGAGATGAGAGAGGATGTTAAATTAATAAAGACTTGGCCGTGAAAAAAAATAAGAATGATCCGAAGAATTTCAGAGACGGTCTACTCTTTTCTTTTTCTTTTTTTTTTTTTTTTTTTTTTTTTTTTTTTATCTTCTTTCTTACTTCTCTTATTTTTATTTAAGTTTTATTTTTTAATCGTTTTCGTTTTCGTTGCCTCATAGACGTGTGTACAATTCGCAGACGCCTGACCTCGAGAATAAAAGAACCGCGTGCTCATAGTCTAACTTATCCGCGTGTTGTCGACGTCTTAAACGTCGTCCTCGTAGTCGTCGTCATAGATTTAGTTGTATGGTGTATGTACATAGCCGGTTAGTTCATTCTCTCTTCATTTTTATTTCATTACATTGTTCTAGACGCACGCATCCGCTTCTCATCTCAGCGGGGTTCGTACAAGCTAAATCACATCACCACCGTTCTCTTATTTCAGTACCTACAAATAATAATCATAATAATAATTATTTTTATAATTATAATAATAGCAGCAGCAATAATGTAGAATCAGGTTTACGGTTTACACATATTACGGAAATCCGTATTTCGTGCCAGCCGGTAAACGTATACCATAAAACAACGTGTGTAGGGTGTTAATATGGTCTAGGGCAAGCAGACAGGCTTGTAAAGGTATATACATGCTCCTATACATCTCAATATACATATATATCCAGGTATGCATCGATGGGCTGTTAAGAAGAAAAGCCGATTGATAGACAGTCTTAAGTAAAAGCTCGAGCTCGAGAAGTAAAGTACTAACTGTACGTATAGCATGCATCAATACACCAGTATGTACGGCATACATGTTTATATAGTAGGTATAATGTATATTGTGTAGAAAGTAAGAGAAGCCGTAAGTAGTTACAGCCGGCGCATCTGCTTTGCCAATATTTAATATAAGGACACAGGCGAAGCGATACGGCCCTGGCTCTGGCCGTGAGTCTCGTCTGGCCGAGTGTGTGCACCCGCGTCCCTTACCTCGCGAAATGAGAGCGAGGTAAGGGACAAGCCAAAGAACAAGGACAGATGCAGCTAACACATCGAGAGGGGTAAAGTCCCAGGGAGTGGAGAGAAGAGAAAAGGAAGAATTGAGGAGGCAAAGAAGGAGAAAAAGAGCACATACGTATGCACTGAGTATAAGGAGGAAGAAGAAGAGAGGAGAGAAAGGGTAGAAGTACCGATAGTAGTAGTAGTATTTGTGATGATGATGATGATGATGATGATGATGATGATGATGATGATGACCAAGTGAAGACTACGGCGGCGACGACGGTGGCGCGAAGACGATTGCAGAAACCTGTTCTCATCTTTTCTGCTTTCCTCATGATTATTATCGCTGATCGAACAACTCCTTCGCTACGATGCGTTTTTTGGCTAAGTCCTGAATGTTTGGTGTTTTATTTTAACTTAAAATTTGAATTAACCAGCTTGTACTTAGGTATTATTATTATAATTATCATTACTATAAATTTACCTTTGCATATGTTGTTTCAATTGTTTTTTTTATCTTCTATTTTTGATTTTTTATTTTGCTGGAGCCTATACAAATCCAGATTAGATTATTCGCACGCTCACTTTGTTGAAACGGGCGAAGCGTACACTCTCGGCACAATGCACTTTTATTTTTTTTGCACACCAAAACCAAGTGCATTGTCGTGGGAGGCTTAAATTCAAACGGCCCCCAGCTTGAGGCTGTTCGATGCACTCTTCCACTGCTGCTTCATTTCATCTCATTCTTTTTTTTCTTCTCTTGTTATTTCTCTCTTGTCCGTTGTTCATCCGCGTCCTTTTGCAAACTTTTTACTTTTTCTGGGTATGGTCAAAGCTCTGCTCGATCATTCGGTTGAATCTCTTTTGTCCTACTAAATCGTTTGATCATACAGGTTACAAGTTATTCGATAGAAGAACTGGGTTACTACGAGCTTACAGATGTGCATCAGTTAAACTTTTATATTTTTTATAATTTCATGCAGCAAACCAATCGCTTGAATTTTTATTTTTCAAATAAAAATGAACCGCAATTGATTTCGTTGGAAATAATTTTAGATTGATTTTGAGAATTTAATTTTTAACCAAAAGAACGCATTTGGGAAATCATGGTTGCACAAAATCGCAAAAGAATTGGCAACAGGTGTCAGTTAAGAGGGCATAAATATAAAGAATTTAAAAGATCCAACGCGCTTCCGGCGGTAGGAGGGTTAAGTCCCTGGAGCGGGGAGCTGCTGTACAACCTCTACATGATAAAGAAACGCGGAGTACAGCTGTCCCCCGTATCCTCAAAAAAACTCGTCTGAATTTTATACGCGATGCAACGCACTGCGTTTCGTGTTACGCGTATGTACTCTTTACTCTCTTTATCTTTCTGCTTCTCTCCCCTACACATTACTCTCAAAAAATAACTCCCTCCGTCTGACATACACTTATACAAATAAATGGCCGTGTGCAAAATCATGGGAATATATTTTTGCAAATACAATATGTTCTTTTGTTTTACAATTCTATTTTTTTTTTTCCTGAAAATAAATTAGCAATAACTTTTATATTTTTATTTTTTCTATTCATTGACCATTATTTTGAATTAAACACGAATAAAGAAAGGACTAATTAAAATTAGCTCGAATATGAATTACAGACTACTAGAGTATGTCTATTTAGAAAATAAATGAAAAAAGGGAAAAAAAAAATGTTATAAGTTGATTACCCACATTTGTACGAACTGACAGTAGATTACAGAGGCGCCGTTAATCTCTTTGAGAGGCCATCGACATCAAGAAAATATCTTTATAAAATATAACACATATACTTCTATTCATAAGACTATCAACGATCAACCCAACTATTCATTACAAAATATATATACATAAACGTTTTTTTTTTTTTTATTTTTTTGTAAATTTATATCATACTATATTTAACCGTAATTCTATTTTATTATTAAATCAAATTCAATTGGATATACTTGAAGAGTATGTCCAATTGATAAAAGAAGAAATGATATAAATGGTCCAAGTATACAAAAGTTACAGCAAAAGATGAATTCTCATACGTGAGAATCTTTACGTTTAATTAAAATAAATTTTAAATAAAATGAAAAAAAATGTAAAGCTTGAATTTGAGAGATAGTACTGTAAAAATAAATCCAACAAAAGCCCAAGAAAAATCCGATTATATTTGAGCAAATGCACAAGAATAATATCTTAATGTCTGTCCACCTCCCAAGAGCTGTGTGCCATCTGCACTTGTTTCCCACGTAAATATATCACAACCCCTGATGATATAGAATATAGAAAAGACACAGAAGCTAAGAGACAGTACATAGCGTCACACGTACTCACATACTCACATTACATATAATATGTATAGATACGAGACACCCATACATTTATAATAAAATACTCTCAGGACTTTTCTCAGGATACAGTGGGTTGTAGGCAACCATGGAATAATAAACAGGAGCATTAGCGAAGCTGGATAGACCCCCAGCAACTCGTCTCATCTTTTTATTTTTTTTATCCTTGCGTCACTTGACCGCTCTCGCACGTCCACATCATTTCTCCCTCGTGCAGGACATCAAGAACTCGTCTGCTGAGAAAATTCTTCACTTCTGTTTAGTATGTTTTTTTTTTTTTTTTGGTTTCTTGTCTCGTTCACCACCTCTTCCAGTCTGTAATACACAGTAAACAGGGTGAGTTGAGAGTGTAGAAGCCGTGAACCTGATGTACGCCCGAAGGACAAAGGTCTTCTGCACCTCCTTTTCCGCACAGACCAAGGGTGAAATGGTTGGACAGTGGTCGCTGTGTACACAAGAGTAAAAGAAATACATGTATACCTGTTATGAAAGACTGAAGGAGACAGAAAGGTCACATGAAGGGTGTAGTGTAGTATCCATAGGGGGTCGTTAGACCAGGGCGCTATCCTCATTACCATAACAATAACCTTCTAAATGTTATGTCCTCCCGTATTAAGTCACCGCGACTCTTTCCTTTTTTTTCCTCGTTTCTTGCATTTACTCTCTGTTCTATCTCCGATGGGAACTTGGCTCTTTACTCATCTTCATCCTCATCCTAATCATCTTCTTCGTCTGGTTCTCTTCTACAAACTCTCTCAGCACAGCCTCGTTTTCGTCTAGCTTTCAACCCTTTGGCAGATATATCTGCGGTTTGCTATGAACACGCACATAAGTACACAAATGATGAGATATAATATAAAACTAGTTCAAAGCATTTTTACAACTGGGCGTCGACCTTTTTTCGTTTCCTGTGTGTACTAATGTGTATAAGTATACACAATCTATTGTTAATTCTATTTTTTCATTTATCAAATACTGAATTTAAATCTAAAACAAGAAACTGGTTTTAATGATAATAATATTAATAATAATAATAATAAAGATACTGAAATTAACAGACATCTAATAAGTTTTAGAATTTTTTTGCTAAAAAAATTAATGACACTGTTGACAGACATTAAAAAATTTTTTAGAATTTTATAGCAATTAAATTATCATAAAAAAATTTTATTAAAAAATTTCACTTGTGAAAATTAATAAAAATTCTAAGTGAAAATTTTTAGAAGCATTTTTTTATTGTAATTGATTTGTTAAAAAAATTTTTTTAATTGACAGCTGACGGCTAACTTCAGTATCATAAAAATTATTGTAAAAACAATTTAAGAAAATTATTGATGCAATTTTTTAATTTAAATATTTTTTGTAGTAATAATTTATTTATTAAAAAAAAAAAAAAAAAAAAAAACAATGACCGAATGTCCGTTAATTTCAGTGTAACAAATAATAATAATAAAAAATTGTTATACAAATCTCTGAGCAATACCATTGGTAACAATAGAATTGCATTTTTCTATATTGCAATTTTTCAATTATTTCCCCTCTATCTGGCGGGAAAAATCCCTCAAGCTGGGTTGCATTGTTAAGTTAGGTTATGTAGTCTGGACATGTTGCAGCTGCGTAATACAAATACATTTTTATTTCTTTCATTCTATTATGCATTACTTACTTACTTACTTACTTGTACTTACATATATAAAAAAAAAATCAATACAGAAAATAATAAAATTAAATCAAATGCATTTAATTACCAGATATGTTTTTTATGTCATCATTTCTTTTAATTAAATTTTTCAACGATGACACATGTTTTTAAATTTGGGTGGGGCATGTCGACTTATCGCGCGAGCTCTCGATTCTATACCTAACTTTACTTGGTAGTTTCATCGCTTATGTGTAATAATCTCAACAAAAAAAGTAATTATTGGTATTAATTAATAATAATTATATGTTAAAATACAGTAAGGTAATATTATTCAAATTGATATGTTTATTAAATTTAAAATTGTTTCAGATTTTTTTAAATGTAAAATTAATAGTAGTTGTGGGAGTTGAGCCGACTAGACTATAGCTACATCAAAACATCGTATATATATATATATATGATATTGCATTCTAATGATTCAATGGAGTAAGAATCATCAGGGCGTGTTTATTCGGTAGGTCTACGTAGCACGATAACCAACAATAATCGACAACGGACGCTAGTTTTGATATTAACAAGTGTGGGCTGTCATTGTGATTCACAATAATTATAATTATTAATTATTAACCAGGAAGGCTTATTAGAGGTGCTGCGAAAAAAGTAAATGTAAGATGTGTAATCAATGAAGTGGAAAAATAATAATTGTTGATAGAGAAAGTGCATAATTGTTAATAAACAAGATACAATGGTGCGCTTAGCGTTAACAGTGTCCTACGTTCTGGCTTGTTTTAAGCTGGGCGTAGTCGGCCAGTTTGAATGGCAACCGATTGATCATTTTGACGAAATCCAAGCTAGGGTAAACCTAGTTAACAAGGATAATTGTCAAATAAAACGGGATAATGATTTATATTTGCCTCCTGATTCAGTATCTCACTTGCCTAACATCAAGGATATCAATATCAATCCAGTATTCCCCAATAGAACTGGTCTATTGTACATCCACAACTTGGCAATAAGTCGTGCTTACTTTTGGAGTTACAGTTTACAGTCGCGATTTATCAGACCAGCTCTCAATGACACCTACGATCCAGGAATGATGTACTACTTCTTATCATCAGTCGCTGATGTATCTTCAAACCCTCATGTCAATGCTTCAGCGACTTACTTTGCACCCAATATGTCATTTACTCCAAGTTATCGAGGCTTCTTCAACAAAACACTACCGAGATTTGCACCAAGAGTCATAAGAGCTGATGACTTTAATGATCCTGTTCACATGGAGAGAATATCTACCAGAAATACTTTTACAGCTGATGATCTTGGTGCTTTTGCACCGTCTAGTTTTAGTCTTGATTACACTAACGCGCTCTATCGAATTAATAAATGGTATTTATTTTAGTTGGTATTTATTTCAAGATTTTTGTCAATTATTTTAATTTGGTTTATTTTATTTTAGGTATTCAGCTTGGTTACCAGATGTAAATCCTCAGAAAAGACATGACACTAAAACAACCTACCAAGTAGAAATTAGATATGCTAACAATACTAATGAGACTTACTCATTTCACGGTCCACCAGGTATGTTCAATGACTTATTTGTGTAAAATAATTGTAGAAAAGAAATATCAAAGGTTGGGTCATTAAAAATCTAAATTTTAATTATTTTAAATTAAATTAAATTAAAACAATTTTTAAAATTGTTTGTAAAATGTTCCCAGACATATTAGCAACGGTTGAATGCTTTAATGTCATGTATTAAATGAAAAAAAATTTTCCCAGGTGCTGATGAAAATCCGGGTCCAGTAAAATGGACAGAGCCTTACTTTGATTGTGATCGTTCAAACCGTTGGTTAGTAGCTGCAGTAGTACCCATTGCAGATATTTACCCCCGTCATACAGCTTTCCGGCACATTGAATATCCAACGTAAGTGTCAATTTTTTAGAATTTTCTTTAGGACTAGTTGTATTTATACAATAAATAAATAAATCCATTTATATGTATAAAAATGTAATATATAAAGCACCAGATGTTCGTTAGTCCGGGTGTCCACTGTTGGTCCAAGCTTGAAACACCCCAAGTCGTAACGAAAGATTTTTATTGCTCCGCGAGTGTCGTTTGTGTGTACACGACACCGTATATATATATATATATATATATATATATTGATCATCCTTAATGAATTCACCGTGAAAGAAGAGGTCGCAGGGGGCCTGTGTACTCGCCTGTATGTGTATATGTACGTGTGTTTTGAACCCCTATGAAATGACGGCCCCAGTCAAACAGGTACGACAGATCGGGTTCTTGGGCTCATCAAGAAAAATGAGAGAGTCGGGATTAGAATACCGATAAAGATGAAAAATGTATAATGTCAATGCGAATAATATGACTATGTGGATTAAATGTTAGAAAGGATTAAGATTTAAATGACGATAGGATTGAATGCCATTGATTGTGTTATACTCGCGACTCAATCTCTTTTAGCTGAAGAGCGGTGGTCAAGTTAAGACCACTTCACAAAACCGCCGTCATACAATACGTCTAATTTTTTAACCAGTTTATAAATTTTACTTTCAATTTATTCCATAGATACACCGCTGTCTCTGTAATTGAAATGGAGTATGAGAGAATAGATATCAATCAATGTCCTAAAAGTGATGGTAATAATGGACCAAATCATTTTTCTAACACTGCTAAGTGTAAAAACGAAACAACTGAAGTAAGTAATTACTGATTGTGATTTAATTTGAATTTTTTTTCTTCTATTCGATTAATTATTAATTATTTTTATTTATTTAGTGTGAACCGTTGCATGGATGGGGTAGTGGTAGAAGAGGAGCATATCAATGTCGTTGTAGACCTGGGTATCGACTACCTTCACAAGTTCGTAGACCATATTTAGGTGAAATTATTGAACGTGCTACTGATGAGCAGTATCACAATGGATTTGATTGTGTCCCCATTGGATGTATGTTGCGATTATATTTTAATTATTATTTATTGTAATTTACTGATTATTTTTTTTGATGCAATAATTTTATTATTTATTTTAGACCGACAAGTATTACCGATTGAATGGCATAAAGCGCCTAAATATTTGAGAGATAAATATTTGGAAAAATATCCAGAGTATGTAAATTCTACGGTTGGTCCTGAATCATTCCAAACACCAAAAATAAATATACATAACGTACTAACATTCATGAGGAGTGTTAATGGACATAATTGTAAATTGTACGTATTGATTAATTAATCCTTTTTTCAATTAACATTCTTGTACTCTGGTAATAATTATAGCAATTAATTGTTTTAGGTACACCAAAGCAGATTTGACACTTCATGGAGATGTTGGTTACGGCAGTACGGAATTTTTTGAAAATCAAGCAAGAATGGCCACTCGTCTGGCTAACTTTATCAGTGCTTTCCTCCAATTAAATAACCCCAAAGAGGTTTACTCAGGTAAACGAGTACCCGACAAAGAACTGACGGAAGATCAGATGATGGGTGAAACCTTGGCTCTTCTTCTCGGAGACACAAAAATTTGGGCTGCTGGTACTTATTGGGATCGTAATAAATTTACAAACAGAACCTTCTTTGCACCCTATGCCCACAAACCTCAATTAAATACAAGAAAATATTACATCGAAGACATTGCTCGATTGAACGCCACTGGTAAATATATTTTTCTAGTTTATTAAATTAAGTAAATTATTTACAGCCCAAGTATGAGAATTAATAATGGAAATTACATTTAATTATAGGTGAAGTCTACACCAACAAGCCTTGGTTTAAATTTTTGCAGCAACGATGGGCGACCAACTTTGATGAACTCGAAAAATATTATTTGAAACTTCACATCCGTTTTAACGAGACTGGCGAGTACCACAAGAAATTTGAGCAGTACCCAACATCTTACAGGTGAGAAAAGAAATAAGATAAATGTTAGAAATGAAATAAAAAAAAAAAAAAAAAGAAGAGAAACAAAACAATAAAATAAATATCAAGTAAAAATCCTTTCTCATCCAACCATCATCTTGGATATTACGAATCACAAAATATACCAGTGAATACGTATAAAGGGATTATGGTTACTGAGTAAGGGGATAGCTTTTAAAATTTTTTCTATGTAATATATTTTAATGCTCTGGAACGGGCGGGTTGTCTCGTCTCGTCTTCAATGTTTAGGGCGGCAAACCTGAATCATGGTCACTGGACAACTCCGTACTTTGATTGTAACGGTAAGGTGAATAAATGGGTAATTACCTATGCATCCCCATTTTTCGGCTGGGACAGCTTGAGGCTAAAACTGGAATTCAAGTGAGTATTAACGTTTGTTCATCTCTACAAGTGTGAATGTCGCGTATATATAGATATACATACATGTATACAACCCATGTAATATTTGCTGATGTAAAAGTAAATTGAGTGTGAGATAGTTCACCCGGGAGCAAGTCCACGGGGGATATATATTTTAAAAAAAAATAATATAATTCAGATGATCATATTTAATACTAAAAATATTTTACAGGGGTGTCGTTGCTGTTACTATGAACTTGATGGATATGGACATTAACCAGTGTGACGATAAATTCTATGTTCCTAATGCGTTCAAGGGCACCCACAAATGTGACCGAAAAACATCATATGTATGAATTTTTATTTTTCAATTAAAAAAAATTATTAATTTGTAATTTTATAACATTAACTTTTGATGTTCTAGTGCGTACCAATATTCGGAAGAGGTTTTGATCTAGGTGGATACAAATGCGAATGCAAACAGGGCTTTGAGTATCCTTTAGAAGATCCAACGACCTACATAGATGGTCAAATTATGGAAGCGGAATTCCAAAATATCATAGAAGATAAAAAAACGAGAATCGGCTTATTCAAATGTCGATTGGCTGGTGCGAGCGCAGCACAAGCTAGCTACACACTCGTCATTTTAATGGCCATGTTTTTCATTTTCCGTGTCGCTCAGAGATAAATGATCAATTTTATTTATAATTTTTTTTTTTTTAACGTACTAAGTGAGAAATCGCAAAGCCGTCCTTAATAATTTTTTTAATTTATACAAGTCAAATTTTATTTTTTACGTGTAGTTTTAAGAATCACGTACCATTAATGAATCGTAGGAATCTCAATATTTAAGATAAAAATTAATTAAAAGGGGTAGAACAAAGGGTATATATAACAGATGAAATTTTTTTTCTTGGTTAAGAACCAGCTTTAGTTCAAAAATACGTTTTTTTTTTTTTTTTTTTTTTTTATATAATTTATAACTATTTAGTTTTAATCTCAGCATGATTTTTATATAAAAAATTATTTATGTAATTTTTTTATACATATTATATAACGATCAAACGTGTTTTGTATATACTTTTACAAATTTTAGGTATTGACAGTCTGTAAGATTTTTTATAACAATTTACGTAGCGTTTAAAAATCTATTTTTAATTATTTTAAATATTTACAATAATTAAAATCTCGATATTAATGTTAAATATTAACAAACTGATCCGTCCATTTTAAATCTAACAAAATGCCTATTTACATGATTAAATATAATCAAATGTGCTTCGCGCAAACCAACAAATTTTTATAGAGATGTGTCTTAAAACTGTACAAATTGTGTTCATAGACATTTTTAAAATTATAGTATTAAAAAATAAATATTAAAATATTTTATTGTATTGAAAAGTTATACTACCTATTTATCACAAACTTTTGTTTGTATTAATTATGATGTTCATATAAATAAAATATTTTACAACAAAAAATGTATTTTAATGAATATATTAAGACTTACTGACTAATGGAACATCTGATTGATTTTCCGTTTGAATTTCCATAATCCAAAGACTTAATTTTCGTCACGAAATATCCAAACCAATTTGATTTATTAACCAAAATGTTTTAATGTCGTCGAAAGATAACTTGAGATACAGATTTGACTGTATCTTGTTTAAAAACAAAAATAATCGTTGCTAGACTGTTACTGTTTCGCGAACGCTAACCTGCGATGGTAAAAATAATTTCCCCGAAAATTACGCACGTCTGAATTTCTTTTTTCAAGTTCATATTTAATATAAAGTAGCATAGATACGAAAGATATGTAAATTGATGAAAATGCAAAGCAATAAAGTAATATAAAAAAAAATAACATTAATTTTTTCACATCATTCACCGGTAATTTTAAACAAAAAATTTCTAATAAAAAAAAATGAAGTCAGCATGCTTCTATTATCAACTGTAACATTTCGTTACTTCTCTTTTTGTACTAAATAAATAAAAAACTCAAATAGTTTGATTGTAAAGTTTTTTCCAATATTTACATAGAATTTAAATAAATACATAGTAGAATTATTTTACAAACTTCTAACAGATCTGGAGCAATCTTCAAGAAAGAAAGATAGATTGAAGATAATATACCAACATGTAAATACAAATTTAAATTTTTAGCTTCCAGTTTGAATTAAATTAGGTTGAATTATTGATCATTCTCTGGTTTTTTATCACCTGTATAATGATACTTTATGAATCGGTATCCTTGAGTTAACTGAGCGCCTTCATTAGTAAAATGGCAGGCAAAAAGTAGTAGATTTCTTGGCTGGACTTTCAATGAAAAACGCATAAACATTGCCGAGTAAAGACACAGCGCTGTAATAAAAAAAAAATTAATTCACTGTATTAAATTACAATTTTACAAATTCAAGTATGACACTGAAATCAATAGACATCGTACAATTGTTATGAAAAAAATTTAATTAAAAAATTGCACATGTAGAAATTTATAAAAAATATAAGTGCAAATTTTTAAAAATATTTTTTTATCATAATTGATTTATTATAAAAATTGTCAATTTAAATTTATTAAAGTTAGCTGTCATTTGATCATTTTCTATTTTTATTTAATAAAAAAATTATTTTTAAAAAATTGCATTTTTAATTTATTAAGATTTCTGCATGTTCATTTTTTTTCTGATTTTTTTTTTGCCACAATTTATTAATTAAAAAAATTCTTAAAATTATCAAATATCTGCTGAATTTATTTGATTGCTGATTTCAGTATCATAATGTAAAAAAAAATAGGTAAAAATACATGTTGCAAGTCATTGATATTATCATTCACCAAAGATAATTAAATTAAACAAATTTTAATTATCTGATATTTTAAGTAAAATTAAATAAAAAATACCAAAAACTAACCAAAGGTCATTTTACCACTGATGAACTTAGGATCACGCTGAATATCAGCAATTGCTGCTATCGGAATACCCCAATTAGCTATTGGACCCCAAAAATGTGTACTGAAATAAAAGTTAAGTAATAAATGAATAAATAAATAAATGAGTAATTTCATAATTGTGTTATCAGTGTTTTTATGTTATTTGAATAAATATTTACCTCATGAAGTAATCACGAGTCTCTTTGCTCGCCAGTGATTTCATTATTTTATTCATTTTTAATATATTTTGATAACTTCGACCAGTTTTTAAATATTTTTTCGGGCTTTAAGAAGCTAGTGACGACTACTTTAAACTTGTACCTCACTTGGGTGTTTTAATCGGCAATACACTTAATTATATTGGATTTTTCTTTATAAATTTGATGGCTCGTTTAATTGTTATGCATGTATGTAAATACATAAACTGGTACTTAGAATATAGACGAAGAGGTTACTGGCCCTACTTCTCCTCTATAATTTTCTATCTTTGTCATTTGGTTATTCTGTTACTCCGAAGAACATATGACACGATTTTACTGCACTAGCGCAATAGCAAAAATGATCACGTGGAGTTTTAGCTACTTATACCGGGAGCGTTATAAGTTTATTTAAAATTAAAGCTCTTTTAATTTTAAAGGGGCTTTAAAATTTATTAAAGAAGAAGGTAAATGCTATTCTTTAAATTTATAGATTTCACTGATTTTACGATACTTAAATCTTGAAACATCTGATAATTTTTTAGTTTTGTTAAAAAAATAAATGAAATCTGAGAAAATATTTGAAAAAATTGCAATTTAATTTATCAGATGTTTACTCTTTAAATACGCAATAGTTTCAATTGACATGTCTAATTTGTAAATAAAATGACAAAAATTGTATCTGATACTGGTATTAACAAACATCTGACAATTTTTAGAATTTTTATAACAAATCAATTATGATGAAAAAAAAATTATTTTTGAAATGTTACACTAATAATTTTTTATAAATTTCTATATGTGGAACTTTTTTACTCAATTTTTTCACGATAATTTGATTGTTATTACAAGATAAAAAATTGTAAAATGTCTATTAATTTCAGTTTCAATTTTTTTTTAATAAAATAAAAAAAATCAGATATTTTACAATTTCAGAATCGTACCTTGTCTATGTCTGTTTTTTCAGGGCTATTTAAATATAAGTTCAATAATTTAATAAAAAAAATTCAAGTTTATGATTATCAGTGTGACATGTACAGAAAAGAAATCCAGTTGTATTTACATAATATTATTATATATATTAAACCAGTTTTAAACTTATAACTTTAGGTTCTCATTATTCTTGTAGCTGTATATAACATACTTATCAATGCAATTTATACAATGTATTTAATAAAAATGAAAATTCATACAAATGGTGATTTTTTATATCAGTATAATAGTATAACAGACGGATAAACTTTTGAACTTGATATTTCTCATTTGAAAAATATAAATTAACTTCATTGTTGTTATATTATTATTGTTCTTTATATTTAAATAATATTATTTTTGCAATTCCTATTTCATCCATTTAAATTTACTGAAATGAATAATAAAATGTTACCAAGATGTAAATTCAAAGTCATTTTTAATATTCTTTAAATATTTTTTATTATTTATAAGGATTAATAATTTAATTATGAAAATAAATTATCATTGAAATTGTTAGTTTTATAATAAGATAAAATAAGAATACAATAAGATAATTAAATAAGAAAAAAGACTTTTTAAGCATATTAAACATAATTTTAATTTAGAACACACATTCAAAAATATTTACATAATATTTTCGTATATATTAAACCGCCTTATAATATATTTCATGGTTTTCTCGTTTTATAAAATAATTACAAAGGGGGTAGGGGAGAACAAATAATGATAATAATAATAATAATAAAATAGTATAGCGGGAGTTAAGGTAAAAAGGGAAAAAATAAAATAAATGATATTACAAAATGTACAAGAGTTAAGTTTCAATTTTTCTATACATAATTTAATCGCCGGGATATTACATATATATGTATATATATAATATTACTAAACAGATCTTATTTTTTTTTAATTTATTAAAATTTTTTTGTTTACTCTAATTCATTACTCTTTTTTTTTTTTTAAATTCTTTATTAATTTGTCTTACTCACTCATTTATTTTATGTAATTATTTATTAATCGAGCGCAAGTTTAAATTTATTTGAGCTGAGTTTAAATCGTTAAAAATTTGTTTGTTTAAAAGAAAATTAGATAAAATAAACTTAAAAACGCAAATACTACGATCAGTCATTGTCGAGAGTATTTTTTAAAAATAATTAATAATAATAATAATAATAAAAATAATAATAATAATAATAACGACGGTGACAACAACGCTTAATAAATATGATACAGAATAATTTGTACCTACAAGATGTGGAGTAGTACAGGTAGAGATAGTACGGCGTTGTGTGTCTAAATAAAATGAATAATTAATTTTTCCAGACACATTGTTCGGTTTATGGACTAATTTCATACATAGACCGGGCCTTGGTTGTCATTGTCATCCACACTTATTCGACTAGGATAAGGCGCACCACTGTCGTCATCACAAAACCGACGAAATGTGAATTCAAAGAAACCGTGGAAGGGTTTCTCGTTGTCCAGTAGCTCATCTGATTCATTTGAATCCGAAGTCTCCGAGTTCCTAAGCTTATCTGGATCCACGGGGTGAAAGTTGCTCGTGTCGGTTGGATACTGTATGCGCGGTATATGCGGTGCGACCTGACGACGCAGGCCCTTCTCGAAGTCAATGCTCTCAAAGAAGGGATGACTCTTCACTTCATCCGCATTCTTACCGAGTCGACGGTCCGCACCCACACATAGCTTCGGGATTAAATCCTTGGCTTCAGGCGAGAGATTAGCTTGCTTCGGTATGTGTAGTGTTGTTTCCCAATTTATAACCTACCATCATATTATAATATATTTATTTATATATACGTATTTTGAATATAATTATTTATTTTATTAATATTTAAATTTAGACTGTCTCGGTATTTTTTATAGTTATTTATTTACTTATTTTATTTTTTTTTTTATCTATTTATACGTTAAATAAATTTACCGACCTTTAACTGTGTTTCGGCAGGGGTATTGGCAAGAAATGGTGGCGAACCAACTAGCATCTCATAGAGAATGACACCGACACTCCACCAGTCGAACAACTGCGTGTAGTAACCAGTACGTTGTAAAACTTCCGGGGCGATATAATTTGGCATCCCCACTAGAGAATGTGTTAAACAACGTTGATGTTCACGGTGTCGTCGTCGCTCTAGATGTTTTAATTAAATACAACGACACTCGTTGTTCCAGTCATCAGCTGGGTCCATTGAATCCTGCTTACTATGACCTAATACAAAATATTTAAATAAATAAATTTAAATAATTACGCAAAATTAATTTAGCAATACTTAATTAAAATTTATATTATCAATGTAATGTTGAAATCCTTACCATTTTGCTGGTAATACTTTGAATTGTGAGTCCAGCGGAATCCTGTGCAAAGCCCAAAGTCTGCAAGTTTAATGTGTCCATCGCGATCAATAAGAATATTATCCAGTTTGATATCTCGATGAATAAATGACATTTTATGGACACTTTCAACGGCACAAGTCAGCTCGGCAATGTAAAACCTCGTCAATGGTTCTTTAAAAATACCAAACTTTATTAATAGCGACATCAAATCACCACCTGGTATAATCCATTACAAAATAAAGATTATCCTTGTCTTGAAATGGATAATAAAGTTTCACGATCCATTCACTATCAGCCTCAGCAAGTATATCTCGCTCGGCTTTAACATGAGCCACTTGATTACGATTTAGTACATCAGCTTTTCTAAGTGTTTTCATCGCGTAAAATTGATTAGTATCTAACTTTCTAACAAGTGTCACTTCACCAAATGCACCAACACCAATAGGTTTTATTTTAGCGAACTTACTTTTGTCCATTTTAGCCCTCTTGAGTCTAATATAATTAGACTCCTTCTGGGAGAGCATTTTTCTCATCTGACAATGAGCTTCAGTACTGTGTCCTATTTTAGCCATTTCTCTCTCCAACTGAACCCGCCTGTACATTCGTTGGCTGTAAGACTTAACAATATTCTCAACATGCTGCTCCATGAAGAATTTGAACGCTTGAGGAGAATAATTCCTCACTTTACAATCTCTACGTTCCTCTTCTTTCTCCTTACTCATGTGTTTGCGTTCAGGTATAGGTGATTGGAGTTTTATTTTGTACGGCGAGGTGGGACCACCCTTGCAAGGACAGTTCTCCGGTGAAGGTGGATGATTGTTGGTGTTCCTTGCCGACACAGAAGTCGAGGTAGTTGGTGGAAGCGGTGGTGACTCGATATGATGCTGTTGACAACTGTCGACAAGCGAGTACTTTCTCTGGAGAGGTGGATGATGTGCTACAGGCGAGGAACGTGGAGCACTGGTACTCTCAACAGTGGCCATGGGGTCTTCTGTTGGCGTACCGTACGGCGGAGGTGGTAGAGGGTGATGCATAGTGCGTTGAGCTGACAGAACCTGCATCATTGTGGCGTAACTAAGCGGTTCTGTTGTAGGGACACCTAGGCTTATCGTCGCGGGTGTAGCAGCAACCGCAGCAGCAGCAACCGCAGCAGCAGCAGCAGCAGTGGTATTATCAACTGGAGGATAAGCCGGTGGTGGACTTTGTTGTTGTGTCTGTTCCTGTTTTGCTTTCAGGTTGATAATTTCCTGCATGCATGTGGCCAGAGTTTGTTGTAGTTCGGTGATCTTCAGCTCGAGGTTGTTCTGGCTCTGTTGTGTTGCTGGACGTACCGAAGTTGCCATGACCTGCGTACTAGGTATCAGCTCTACGAAGCGGTCATCGAATTCCGCGACGATGTCCAGCGGGAGCTTGCTGGTCGTGATCAGATGCGGTCTAACCTCAGGAGGTAGTCGTTTCAGCCATAGCTGCTGCAAAATGCTGTCGTTGATTGCACCGTCTGCTTGCTTGCCCATTATGCGCAGTAGTTGAGACGGGGTTCAACCCGCGAGGGTGGTTTTCCCGCAGTAATTTATGTACTTGTTTCTGCCTGGAATCAGTAAGGCGCGAGATAATTGCATTTTTAAGTGTTTTGTACTTATCTGTTGTCGGTTCCTGGCGAACGACGTCTGCGAGTTGTTCGATTATGTCTGGATCCAACGCTCGTATGACGGTGAGGTATCTGGTGGTATCATCGTCGGTGTTTGTCGTAGTGAACTCGGCGTCGACCAGGATGAACCATAAATCCGGTCTGGTTTTGTTGAATGGCGGCAACTTTGGTTTTACGACCGTTGGTAGATTTTGGCGGGAAAGTCCAGCCAGTAATTGCTCGAGAATAAATGACGTATTTTGATTACCTGGAGCGTGTTGTTTCGTTTTAGGTATTGCGCCCGTGCTGGTGTTGTTGTTGTTGTTGTTGTTGTGCAGGGGGTCCATTGACAAGAGGTCCTTGAGAATTTCTTGGGAAGCCGCGCCGTCAAATACTAGCGAGTCTTTGCTTTTGTAGATCGGATTACCTTGAGGATCATAACCGAGTATGATGTTGTTGTCATCGGTTGTTTTTTTCTCAGGAGTGCGCTATGTATTTTCTTTTGGCGGGCATGCGATGCTTCTTTTTGAGATTATTTTCAATCACGTCGGGATCACAAATTGTAGGGGGTTATTTCACTACCACTACAATAATTCATACAGATATGTAAATTAATCAAATGTATTTTATTAGATAATAATTAGTTATTAGATAACAATTAGTTATAATTTGTTATAAATAAATTCTCTTTGAAAATGCTACAGCTGTAGCGTCGGTTAATTGTAATAATAATAATAATAATAATAATAATTTTAGTTCTAGTCAGGTACGTTGGCGCCACTGATGTTGATTCCGGTGTTGGCCGATGATGGCTTCGAGGCGATCAGGCCGCCACAAGTCAGGCCAAATCAAAAGGCAGACTACCGATGGCGCTAACATGGAGCAGGCATAGAGCGAATAGTTTAGGTGAGATAGGAGACGAGGAGACATTAGAAACTGGGCGCGAAACGATCAACCCAAAAGAAAAGGAACAGGTGTAGATGACAGAGAAAGCAAAGTTAGACTTGTCGCGAGCAGAACAGAGAAGAAAAGAGAAAGCTTAGAGAATGTAGTGGAAATGGGATTCAAAAAAATCATGGATAGGTTAGACGAGGAGAAGAATGATTGAGATTGGGTATAGGCTTGATTCGGACCACCAGCCAGTGATTGTAGAAATGGAAGAAGGAGAGAAAGGCTTTAGGAATGAGAGGATGAAAGAGAAGAAGAAAGACAGATGGGTCCAGTGCTGGAAAGAGGATAAGGTTGAGCTATTCAGAAAGAAAGAAGAAGAACTGGAATGGAAAGTGGAAATAGGAGTAAAGAAGTGGGACGAATTAAAAAAAGGAATAGAAAGCTGCTGCAGTAAGAAGAAGATGGTAAACAAAGAATAGGGAAGCTGGTTTGACGAACAGTACAGAAGACTGAAGAAAAAACTGAAGAAGACAAGCAGAAAGAAGAAAGATGGCAAGGTGTTAAGTAGACTGAGGAAGAAATACAGAGAACTGAAGAAGAAAAAGAAGGAAAAGTGGGAAGAGAAAATGGAGAAGGAATTGAAAGAAATCAAGAATGAGGGTGAAGCCTGAAAATTCATCAAGAAAGACTGGAAGAAAAAGTCAGACATCAGCGAGAATTTCAATCTAGAACAATGGAGAACACACTTCATGAAGTTCTTTAGATGGAGCTGAGAGGAAACCGAGAGGACTGGATAGATCTGACAATAGGCTTGAGGATGAACCTACGGATGAAGAAATTTATAGACAGGTGAAAAACTTAAAGAAAGGGAAAGCAGAAGGGGGAGATGGGTTGAAGAATGAAGCATGGATATACGGGTTAGGGAAGATAAGAATGAGACTGAGGGAAGTAATAAAAGAAGTATGGAGAGGAGAGTATTTCCCAGAAGATTGGAAAGAAGGGATTATAACACCAATATTTAAAAAGGGAGAGAAAGACTGTATTGATAACTACAGGGGGATTACTCTGACCAGCACGGCATACAAAATCTATGCAGCCATACTGAACGAGAGGATAATAAAGTCGATAGAAGAAAAGAAAGGATGGGAAGAGAACCAGGCAGGCTTTAGAAAGGAAAGAGGGTGCATGGATAATGTATTTATATTGAGGCAGCTGATAGGTAAAACAATAAGAGAGAAAGGAAAAGCGGCGTATGTTCTCTTTATAGACTTGAAAGGAGCTTTCGACAACCTGGACAGGAACATACTAATGAGGGAGATGAAAAACATAGGAATAGAAGGAGGGTTAAGGGAAAAAGTGAGAAGAATATACACAGAAACAAGGTGCAGGGTTAGAGGTAATGGAGAGCTATCGGAAGTTTTCTGGACGGAGAAGGGGGTGAGGCAAGGATGTCCCCTCAGCCCGACGTTATTTAATATATATGTCGCGGACCTCGAGGACTTCTGCAGGAAGAGACAGGAAGGTGGAGTTATCATGGGAGGCAAGAAGATGTATACGCTCTAGCATACGCTGAAGATACAGCGGTAGTGGCGGATAATGAAAAGGAAATGAAGGAACTGTTTAAAACATATGAGAGATATTTTAGAGGGAAAAGGCTTGAAGTGAACGTCGAAAAGACAAAGGTGATGAAATTCAAAAAAGGTGGAGGGAGAGGAAGACAAAAGAAAACTGAATGGCTGTGGGAGAGAAAGAAAGTTGAAGAGGTAAAGAGCTTCTGCTACCTGGGCTTCACCTTCACAAGGAATAATAGTGTGAAGGAGCACGTGAAAAATAGAGTAACGAAAGCGATGGGAAAAATGTGGGGAATTGGAGAAAGGAGATTTGGAGGGAAGCTAAAATTTAGAAAGTTACTATTTGATAGTATAGTGACTAACATAGCTCTTTATGGAGCAGAAATTTAGGGATGGAGTGAAAAGAGGGAGATAGAGAGTCTACAAGAACAGTACGGAGGATGGGTAATGGGTATAAATAGGTCGGTACCTGGGTATATGATAAGAGAAGAGCTAAAGATGGATAAACTAAGGGTTAAAGCAGGAGCAAGGGCATTCAAGTTTGAAGAGAAGGTGAGGCTGGAAGGAAAGAGAGAACTAGAGTGGCTAGAGGCATGGTGGAACGAGAGAAAGAATCGAGAAGGCGAAGCGAGGGAGAAGATGATAGAGAGAATTATATGAGAAGATGTGGCTGGTCGTCGGCTGGAATAGCTCTAGAATGGATGAAAGGAAGAAGGATGGAGAAAGAATTGAGAGAGAACAGAGACAGAGACGTTCAGAGGCAGGAGAGGAGGGCGAATGTAAGGGAGTCGCGGTTCAACAGAATGTATAGTAGAGTGGTTGAGGAGGACATTCCAAGCTACTGGAGCAGAGAGGATGGAAGAAAAATAACAGAAAAGAGGACTATAGCCAAGCTAAGATTAGGGAGCGAATGGAGAGGAAATACATATTGGCTGAAGGAGGAAGAAAAAATGTGTAGAGTATGCAAAACAGAGGTGGAATCTTTAGACCACGTGGCTAGGAGATGTAATCGAGTAAAGAGGTGGGAAGGTAGCTTGGAAGAACTGCTAACTGAAAGTGGGGAAGGGTTAGAGTGAATGGAAAGCTGGATGAAAATCTGCGAACAAACTATAAATGAAGATTAGATAGAAGGGAGAGCATAACCGAAGTCTTGGCACCTATCAGGCGAAAAGAAAGAAGGTGAAGTGAAATCGCGGAGGGTAAGGGAGGGAGGATGGGTGAGGAAAAGAAAGGGCAGATGGAAAATAATTTGTAACAACATAAATTTAATATAAAAGTTATGTGTAAAGTCATTTGTAAAGCCAGTACCCGGGCTGATTGTCGGGTACACTGAAATGCCGAAAGGCGATCTTTTACTATTATTCAATAAATAATGATATTAATAAATAAAATAAGAATACAATAAGATAATTAAATAAGAAAAAAGACTTTTTAAGCATATTAAACATAATTTTAATTTAGAACACACATTCAAAAATATTTACATAATATTTTCGTATATATTAAACCGCCTTATAATATATTTCATGGTTTTCTCGTTTTATAAAATAATTACAAAGGGGGTAGGGGAGAACAAATAATGATAATAATAATAATAATAAAATAGTATAGCGGGGGTTAAGGTAAAAAGGGAAAAAATAAAATAAATGATATTACAAAATGTACAAGAGTTAAGTTTCAATTTTTCTATACATAATTTAATCGCCGGGATATTACATATATATGTATATATATAATATTACTAAACAGATCTTATTTTTTTTTAATTTATTAAAATTTTTTTGTTTACTCTAATTCATTACTCTTTTTTTTTTTTTAAATTCTTTATTAATTTGTCTTACTCACTCATTTATTTTATGTAATTATTTATTAATCGAGCGCAAGTTTAAATTTATTTGAGCTGAGTTTAAATCGTTAAAAATTTGTTTGTTTAAAAGAAAATTAGATAAAATAAACTAAAAACGCAAATACGACTATCAGTTAAATGAAAAATTAATTGACTAATAAATAAATTGATCTCGTACCCTCTTGTTAAAAACATTTCATTTTATACAGTAAAAATAATTTTTTTCTTTTTGTAAATAATCATAAAAACAAAACCAAAAAGGCTAAAAATATAAATTTAATCTTGACGTCTAAACGATAAAATGGAAAAAAGAAAAAAAAATTTTATTTATTTCAATTTCCATGTTGCACAAATTTTAAGCAAAAATTTTTCTTTAAATTCCTTTGGTATGAATTAGTGATAAGAGAAAATAAAACAAATATATAAATACAATATTTATATATATATAAATAAACAAAATTAAATTCATACAATTTCCGAAAGCGCCGAAAACTCTCCCCCGGAGAGTACGGCGCTCCGGGACACTAGGTTTACATACTGAACCTGACTACGTGTGTTCAGAGAGACACAACGTTACTGAATATTAAAATATCGAATTTATATAGATAAAAATTATATTGAAGAGCACTTGCGAGAAGACCAAAAATATATAATATACATATGTATGTGTCTTATTTAGTTAGATGTAATCTCGAATAATTGTCATTATTAATTTATTTTAAATAAATAAAGTAAAATGGATAATTTAAAAAAATTAATTACCAGAAATATTAAATTCTAAGATAAAAAGGCACTCTTAGCTCCGCTTATGCACCGGTTTAGCGATATATTATACACAATTCAAAGTGATTCTACTAAAATAGTTAAACCATTACGTCTGTACATGGTACATACATTGCAATTCATTTTTTTTCTACAAACTATATAATATATATATATATCAATTATTAATCATTATTATTACTATTATTATTATCATAATGATTTAATATATTTATCAAATCGATTGGTTTCACAAGTCTAAGTCAAATATAAAAAGCCACACTATATCACGTAATTATTCGATTTGTTTTTATTTTTAAAAACAAGGCCACTTTCAAACTTTTATAAAGTTTATTCAGCCAATTGCTTTCTCTAAATTCCTATATATTTATATATATATATATTTGTTTTAATTATTTAATTAAACGTAAAGGCACATTATGATTAATTAATAATTACGAATTTCTACAGTAAAATCGTACTCGTAATTTCGCGTTTTGTACATATTGTAAAAAATATATATTTTTAAATTTAAATACATATCTATTTTATATATATTTACTTTCGTTGTTTAAAACAATAATTTTTTTAAGAAGCTCACAGTTATGGCTTCGTATTTAGTTTTACGATATAAAGTTTTGATTGCAAATTTTTTAAAAATTTATATTGCAAAAATTGTCACCGACTGACAATTGATTCACTGGGCAACTTAAAACGAAACCTCGTAATAATTGTTATGATAAAAAATAATTATTTATAATAATAGTTAGAAAAAAAAAGTGATATTAAGTTTACATTGATGCTTTTTTTTAAAGAACAATTATTATTACGAGTCTCATAAATTCTACTAAGCATCATAAATTGCGATGAACACATTATTTCCATCCACTGTAAGAAAGATTATATATTATCATTATTATTATTATTATTATTATTATTATTATTATTATTGTTATTGAATCATTTTAATCATTATTAGACTATCCTTTGTATTCTTTAATAAAAAAGAAAAATAATATTAATAATAATAATAATAATAATAATAATAACAAACCAAAATTAAATAAGAGCCGAGTGTAGAGTATAAGCCATATTATTCTAATTAAATCGGCAATATCACAGTACTCGCAGAAACACACAAAACGCGCACTTTTATCCAATTGATTATTTGTTTTAATTTTTATTTTTATAGTTATTTTTTTTCGTTAAAATCAGTCTATCTGATCAAAAATAAAAATTTTTCGAAATAATCCCACGATAAAATGTGTGTTTACTCAATTAATTACCCCTTTCTTATTTAAACATTAATTCACGACAATACAGTTTTAATAAAATAACCTAGCTAAAAAATATTGATTGATTTTACGGTATAGTATGTAAATAATTCTCTTGATATTATTCCGTAGACTTTTTTTAAAACAAAAGAAGTCTTCATCACTTGCTACTTGGAGTAAACTATTTATCGTGTTTCGACTATGTCAAATAAATCACGAAGGTACCAGCAACAGCACGATTGTCAAGAGTATTTTTTAAAAATAATTAATAATATTAATAATAATAATAATAATAATAATAAAAATAATAATAATAATAATAATAATAATAATAATAATAACGACGGCGACAACAACGCTTAATAAATATGATACAGAGTAATTTGTACCTACAAGATGTGAAGTAGTACAGGTAGAGATAGTACGGCGTTGTGTGTCTAAATAAAATGAATAATTAATTTTTCCAGACACATTGTTCGGCTTATGGCCTAATGTCATACATAGACCGGGCCTTGGTTGTCATTGTCATCCAAACTTATTCGACTAGGATAAGGCGCACCACCGCCGTCATCAAAAAACCGACGAAATGTGAATTCAAAGAAACCGTGGAAGGGTTTCCCGTTGTCCAGTAGCTCATCTGATTTATTTGAATCCGAAGTCTCCGAGTTCCTAAGCTTATCTGGATCCACGGGGTCAAAGTTGCTCGTGTCGGTTGGATACTGTATGCGCGGTATGTGCGGCGCGACCTGACGACGCAGGCCCTTCTCGAAGTCAATGCTCTCAAAGAAGGGATGACTCTTCACCTCATCCGCATTCTTACCGAGTCGACGGTCCGCACCCACACATAGCTTCAGGATTAAATCCTTGGCTTCAGGCGAGAGATTAGCTTGCTTCGGTATGTGTAGCGTTGTTTCCCAATTTATAACCTACCATATTTATATATACGTATTTTTAATATAATTATTTATTTTATTAATATTTAAATTTAGACTGTCTCGGTATTTTTTATAGTTATTTATTTACTTATTTTATTTTTTTTTTTATCTATTTATACGTTAAATAAATTTACCGACCTTTAACTGTGTTTCGGCAGGGGTATTGGCAAGAAATGGTGGCGAACCAACTAACATCTCATAGAGAATGACACCGACACTCCACCAGTCGCACAACTGCGTGTAACCAGTACGTTGTAAAACTTCCGGGGCGATATAATTTGGCGTCCCGACTAGAGAATGTGCTAAACAACGTTGATGTTCACGGTGTCGTCGTCGCTCTAGAGGTTTTAATTGAATACAACGACACTCGTTGTTCCAGTCATCAGCTGGGTCCATTGAATCCTGCTTACTATGACCTATTACAAAATATTTAAATAAATAAATTTAAATAATTACGCAAAATTAATTTAGCAATACTTAATTAAAATTTATATTATCAATGTAATGTTGAAATGCTTACCATTTTGCTGGTAATACTTTGAATTGTGAGTCCAGCGGAATCCTGTGCAGAGCCCAAAGTCTGTAAGTTTAATGTGTCCATCGCGATCAATAAGAATATTATCCGGTTTGATATCACGATGAATAAATGACATTTTATGGACACTTTCAACGGCACAAGTCAGCTCGGCAATGTAAAACCTCGCCAATGGCTCTTTAAAAATACCAAACTTTATTAATAGCGACATCAAATCACCACCTGGTATATAATCCATTACAAAATAAAGATTATCCTTGTCTTGAAATGAATAATAAAGTTTCACGACCCATTCATTGTCAGCCTCAGCAAGTATATCTCGCTCGGCTTTAACATGAGCCACTTGATTACGATTTAGTACATCAGCTTTTCTAAGTGTTTTCATCGCGTAAAATTGATTAGTATCTAACTTTCTAACAAGTGTCACTTCACCAAATGCACCAACACCGATAGGTTTTATTTTAGCGAACATACTTTTGTCCATTTTAGCCCTCTTGAGTCTAATATAATTAGACTCCTTCTGGGAGAGCATTTTTCTCATCTGACACTGGGCTTCAGCACTGAGTCCTATTTTAGCCATCTCTCTCTCCAACTGAACCCGCCTGTACATTCGTTGGCTGTAAGACTTAACAATATTCTCAACATGCTGCTCCATGAAGAATTTGAACGCTTGAGGAGAATAATTCCTCACTTTACAATCTCTACGTTCCTCTTCTTTCTCCTTACTCATGTGTTTGCGTTCAGGTATAGGTGACTGGTGTTTTATCTTGTACAGCGAGGTGGGACCACCCTTGCAAGGACAGTTCTCCGGCGAAGGTGGATGATTGTTGGTGTTCCTTGCCGACACAGAAGTCGAGGCAGTTGGTGGAAGCGGTGGTGACTCTATATGATGCTGCTGACAACTATCGACAGGCGAGTACTTTCTCTGGAGAGGTGGATGATGTGCTACAGGCGAGGAACGTGGAGCACTGGTATTCTCAACAGTGGCCATGGGGTCTTCTGTTGGCGTACCGTACGGCGGAGGTGGTAGAGGGTGATGCATAGTGCGTTGAGCTGCCAGAACCTGCATCGTTGTGGCGTAACTAGGCGGTTCTGTTGTAGGAACACCTAGGCTTATCGTCACGGGTGTAGCAGCAACCGTAGCAGCAGCAGTGGTATTATTAACTGGAGGATAAGCCGGTGGTGGAGGTTGTTGTTGTTGCTGCTTTTGCTGGATCGATGTAGCATACGAAGGAGGTGGTGGAGGTGGTGTATTACTCGTAGAAATAGGCTGAGGTGAGGTAGGTGCTATCGCGGTCTGAAGAACTGGCTTTTGAACTTGAGTACTTTTTACAGACTGCATTATTATCGGTGGTTGGGTTTTAGCCTGCCTCGCACCCCATGCTTGGAGTGGTGTTGGCCGTGCCATTGATCCTTGAGTACTGGGAGGGACTGTCGACACTGTTATTGGACTTGGTGAACCAGCAGAAGTTGGTCCTGAGTAAATACCCGAAGAGGGACTTTTTCGATAGTCCTGTTGCGACTGAGTTGGACTCTGTCTGTTCTGCATCGACGCGCTGTAAGAAGGAGGCTGTACAGTACCCGCGGTAGAGGAGGGAACAATCGGGTATGGCGGAGGTGGCTCGACCTGGGTACTGGAGTTATTATTGCTTGTCTGGTAAATGCTGAGTGCTTGCATCTGCTGAGACAGCTGCTGTTGAACTTGCGGTCCATTTTGTACAATCATGGGCTGTCGTCCATTGGACGAATTACTGGAGCTTGCGACGGGGCTGGTGCCACGTTGAGGAGGATTGACAGATCCTGAGGCTGAATTAGAGCTCCCCGGAGCAGCTGCTGGTGCTCGTGTTGGCACAACAGGCGCCGGGGACATTCGTTTGAGCATTTGTTGCATATTTGTAGGTACAGTAGGCTGACTGTAAGGTGCGTGAGGTGGTGGAGGCGGAGGTGGTGTTGAGCTGCATCTCGGAGGTGGTGGAGGTGGCGTTTCTCGCTCAACGAAACTATTCGGTGAGTACTGACGACTTAGCTGTGGATGTGGGCTTAATTCGGCCAACCGAGGACTGTCTGATCTTGAACTTCCCGCTCCGCTGTCCAATGCTGGACTGCCTCGTTGAAGACTCAGCTCCCGTTCAAGGCTTGGCTTTCTTATTAGTTTTGAATTTAGTTTTTGTAAGCCGTTTAGTGTTTCACCTTGAGCTTGCTTTAAAAAATCTATCGCTGCTTCTACCCGCCAGCCTGTCATCTTCAAGGCACGCAAACTCATGTCCTGTTGATGGTAAATAAGTTAATAAATTTATTATGATTGATAACAAAAAAAAAAAATAAATAGTGGTGATAGTTAAGATATCAATGTTTACCTCCGGAAAACCCATAGCTGATATTTGTCCGACAATCTGTTGTCGTTGTTCAGGTTTATCAAGAGAACCAGAAGCACCCGATAGACCACTGAGACCTGATGCTGAGCTGACACCGCTGGTCGTCGAGAGAGTGGAGATTGTACTCGCGGCACTGGAACCTACTTCCCCCGTACCTCCGATATTTGCGAAAGGAAGCAGAGAATTACGAATCTCAGCTAGAGCTTTTTGATGGTATCCAGAGCCGCGAGTGCTTGACTTGCTGACAGCAGATGGATTCATAGTGGCCCATGCTAGGCCCGCTGGGACCTAGCTCCAATCCAACAGCAGCATTAACCTATCTGCAAATTATAAATCACTGTTATTATCACAATAGATGTTTTTAAAATCAATGTTATCTAATACTTACAGAACAATTTATATTCTATACTAATGATCCAAAGTTGAATGTTTTGAAGGCATGTTTGGCTGTTTGAATAACTTTATTTTCTTTTGTAAATACTCCAATTGTCATTTAAATAGTATCAAAACTTATTATTGTAGTTCCATCAGATCAATAATATAAACAATCAATTCCCTTTGACATATTAAATATAACAATAGTTGTTATTATTATTATTATTATTGTTATTATTATTATTATTGTTATTGTTATTGTTATAGTTACTGTTATTAATATATGGATAGACTTAAAAAATAATCCATAATCCAGTGGATTAGTTTGATAAAGTGATAATTATAATTATCGTGGTGTCTGTGAACATAAATGAACAGTTGAGTGGATTAAATCCTTATATCATGAGTCAGACCATAACAAAAGCAGCAGTTAACTTTTTCGAAACAAAAGCATAATACATATTAACAAAGATAAATTAATATACGTACAATAAATAAAGGCACTGTTGGTGTGTCCCACTAAAATATTTATCCACAAGTAAAATAATTCTTGAGGAATGCAATTCACAAATCTAACCTATTACACATATTAATTGGACAATGACAAATTGGCACACATGACATATTGGATAATGTACTATTATTATTGTCGTATGATAACAAGTACAGTTTTTATTAAAATAATAAATAATAAAGGTTTGTGGATAAATAATAGAGAATCCGTGTTATTTTATTGTACTCAACTATGTGTACTAATCTGTGTGTGTCCCTTTAAAGCAAAGAAGAAGGCGATGCCAGAACAGAGTGTATGGCACTCGAGCATATTATCTTTTCACATTAACACAGCCTCAAAATAACGTTTAATTGATTCCAATAATATATATCTTTTATTATTTTTCTTTTAGCTGAATTCCACGTTAACGACGATCCACTGTTGTAATTATACCCGTGACAACAAAGAACGATACGGCCGTAAATTACTAAAGTAACAGGCAGCCATTTTGAAGTGCCACATTCCTCTACTGACTTGACACACTCTTTTCGTAATTTAACTCTTTAGGCATTCGACATCTAAATTATTTATAGTTATTTTAATATTTACTTTTCAATTATTCATTATCAACAATAACTTATCATTATTAATAATAATTATTATTATTCATTCATTGTTATCCCTTAATTTCATTTATTTAATACTATTTTAAGTTTATATTTAATTTAAGCACAAAAGTTGTATTTTATTTTTATTTTTATTTAATATTGTAGTAAAGATTATTTTTCAACTTATAATAATTTAAAAATTTAATTCATTTTAATTTATTTATAATTATTTTGGAATTATGTTAATTAATAAATTATTAGAATTTAAAATATAATAAAATATCCAGTTAAGTAATTTTGAAAAATTCAAAGTTGATTCCTGTTTGATCGATTGATGACAAACGCACTATTTACATGCAAATACATATTTTTTATTTTATTATTTAATTATTATAATTAAAATGAGGTACACAAGGCAAAAAGTACATACTAATACTGAAAAATTTGTTGATTTTAATTTTTTTTTTTTTTTCGACAAATAAAATATGTAATTATTTTCCTCTCAATAACGTAGGAATAATTATCATTACATTTTTGTATTTGTATTTTAATATAATAGTATTCCGTATTCAAATCTGAACGCGAAATTATTTTGTACAAGATAATAGTTATAGTAATAATAATAATAATAATAAAGCTTGTGAGAGTCTATTTAAAAATGACGCAATCAATTGGTGTCAATTAAAAAGCGTCTTGAGGAAATAGTAATTCGAGAAAGTACCAGAATTACGGAATTTAAATATTTTTAATTTAACATTCGCTCGTATTTTTAAGAAATGAGCTTTGCTATCATTTCTTTCCAGGTTTGACGTTTTTACGTGGTGGAGCACCCCATCTTAGTGCTGTACTGTCTACTGTTAGCCTTGGCCTCTTAAATTGTGAACTTTTGATGTGTTCTTCAACTAATTTTGGCGTTACACAAATTACATGTTGACCTTTCCAATATTTCACCATATTCATACTTTGTAAGGTTGATATTATATCTGTTTGTGAGATACTGGTCATATTACTGAAAATAAAATTTTAAGAATTTATTATATAAAAATACAAATAAGTAAAAAATAATTATTTAATTTTCAATATTAAATTTTATTAAATTTACCTGAGATCTTTAATGCTTAATGTTCCTCTAAAATCACGCAATATTTCTAACAGGATCCAACTCCAATAACTACGATACGATAATTTACCGAGATCACTTAAAGGTTTTTCCGGACTTCCTACAGTCTGTTCAATTCTACTTAATTCATAACTGAATGCTATTAAAAGTTTGCCATATCCTTGTCTTTGAAATGGAGGTAATGTTAAAATACACGCAACGTTATTACCGTCTGGCGACTCTTTCTCCTAATAAAACATTTAATATAAATTAATTAAGGCCACTAAATTTATACAATTAATATCTAAATATTTAATCACTTACTTTTGAAAAATAACCAACTAAATGAGCTCCATGTTTATCAACTTCACATAAAATATAAAAAAGAAACGGTTCAACATCAAAATATAGTGTTTTATGATCTAAAAATAATTTTGCAAGAAGACAAAGATTTTGACAATAAACTTTGTGTTCTCTACCATCGACTTCCCAAATACTCAGAGTTCCTTTACGATATATTTCTTTACCAACTGGCTGTCTGTGTGTGCATTCACTCTACAAAATCAACAAAATTCAAATAAATATAACATTAAAATAAAATTTATTACTATTATTATTATAAAAAGTTACCATGTGATAACGATAAGTTTTTTCTAGTCTCATATACTTGAGACAATATTCACAAATCCATAACTTCGGCTGCTTGCCATATTCTTCCGGATAAGGACTAAAATACCAGGTGTCTATTTCATATTTTCCTAAAGATAAACTTTTAAAATAGTAACCTTATTGTATTTTTAATAAATCTACTTGTTATAAATATTAATGTACATACCGATTTGAATTTTATCAATATATTTAACTTTCGTAATAGCCTCATGTTCTTTCTCAAGTGCCGCTGTCGTAGGATCCATCTCTGCGTATGTCTGAGTAATAAAAAAAAATATAAGTTCAATGAATAATAATAATAATAATAACAACTATTAATTCAAATTAAATTATCATTTTTAGACAACTTACTTTTTGTATATGGTTAATTTCATCATGCCTTCTCTTTTGATTTCTCGTGATTTTTCTATCTGATGAATCAGCCAATAAATCACTGGCAGGATTGTGCTCGCTAGTTTTCCATCTCGTGTCATTCATATCAAACCTACTGGACATGATTCTGTCTCTCGGTACCCATTCATCCAGCCTCCTGTTGTATCCTTCATAATGTACGTAATACTCATAATGCGATTCTAATTCGTTGTATCGGCTCTGGATTATTTCCGCAGGATCTGTTGTCAAAAAAATCCATTAGTTATCAAATGTCATCATTGCTTTTTTATTTACAAAATTTTCCCGCGCATTTTTTTCTCTTCATTTTTTTCACTTGTTTCTCGGTGAAATTACCGATCAACTATAAAATAATAATTCTATACGTCACTTAATACATTACTGAATAAAAAAGTAATTGCGACTTTATTAGTAATAGAGGATGGTTAAAAATATAAATTAACAATAGCTGTAGGCAATAACAAAGAACATTCTAGAGTCAAGTAATTGAATAGTGTCATAGAGCGTGATGATAACACGCGTGTTACTCACGCCAAGAGTCATCGGACCTTCGCACTAGATAGTGCTCGCCGACGTCCAAACGAACCTCCTCCGAACTATCAGCGTCGTCACCAGACTCTTTTCCTCCATTGGTGATAGCATTTTCCCGTTTTTCCTGTTTCACCATAATTTCTTTAGCACTCACGGTATTCTCTTTGCCCCGTAGCTCTATATCCGCCATTTTGGAATAAAAATAATTAAGCGTTGTTAAGTGGGGAAAATGTGCCTTGAGTATCTTTAGCTTGCGTTTAATTTTTATTGTAAAACGTTTGATGTACGAAACTCCAAGTAATTCTTATGACTAAAACTCTATTACCGGCAAATTATTTTTATTTATTAAGTTAGAGATGGAATGGCTCTACGCTAACAGTTGGTAACATATATGTGTACATCTTATAGCTTTGTCTTTTTAGTATAGTATGAATGTGTAATTTAACAACAACAATAATAATAATAATAGTTAAAACAATAATAATGATGAAAATAAAAATAATTAATACTATTATTATTATCATAATACAGTCGAATCGCGTTATGAGTCCGGCTTGTTTTCTTTGTTTTTTAACCAGACTCGCGTTAATAAGAGAGAGACACAAGGAGGGCTCATAACGCGACTCGACTGTAACTGTGCAAGCGCATAATCGAGCATATACTACCATCTAGCGGTTCAATTGTAAAAATATGAGTTTTTCTTACCGACTAGTAATAGGTGTATTGAAAGTGTGCAATTCTAAGAATTTTGAATTAAAGAGTGAATGAGAATGGTTAGACTCCCACAAGTCATTGTTTAATAAATAAAAATATAGAAAAATATTGTTAGAGCAAAAATTGTTATTTGAACGAAAAGTTTTTATTGTTTTCTTTTTTAATTTATTGCGGTTAATATTAAATCCTTATTTTGAAATTTTTCTAAATATTTCTTAAATGTTTCCGCGCATTGCTATTGCGCATGTAGAGAATTAGTGACGCCATTTTCTATTCACGCGGTACAAAAAGCCGGGAATTGACAGAATAGTCGACGGCTGGAGTAGTTTTTTGATATTTTTGGGTTTTATACTGTTGAAATTTTTCATTTTTGTTTAAATAATTTTTTTTATTGGCTAAATAATAATATTTGTTAATAAAAATTATTTAGAATTTATAAATTAACAATAAATATGTTAGTTAACTTTTTGGAGCAGGAGAGTTGATTGCAGCTTAACGTTGGTTCATCACTTTTACAGTATTTACTTCTGTGAAGCTGAATGTTTATTATTAAGTATTTTATTTAAAGTTGTACTGAAACTTGGTGTTAGTAATAAGTGTTTGATGAAGAGTATTTATAAGTGTTAGTGAGTATTATTTTAGTAAAATTTGATGAATAGTTACGTGGATGTTGATAGTTTAGTGTGTTGTTAAATTTGCTGTTGGTGTTGAATCAGTTAAAAGTGAAAAGTACTTGTAAAATACATAAAAATTTTCCAGTTGAATGATATTAAGAACTCAACAATTTTTCGAGCAGAATCTTTAAGGTAAATAAAATAAATATCATAAGTAGAAATTTGAATCGCGCGTGATTATACATTGATACTAAGTTAACCCAAGCGTCACATTAAAAACTGTTGACTTTTTGATAAATTTTATTTAACAAAAAGTCAAAAATTAATAATTGTCAACTTAAATTCAACAATATATTACCAAAAAAATTTTTGTGCCGCTTGGGAACTTCACAAGTAATCGTCAACTTTAAGTTGAAGGATAAAAAAATTAAATTACATCCAGTTTTGTTATATAATTTATTTATTCAATTTGGATCTAGTACTTTTATTTTTAAAAGTACTAGAGTAATTATTCTTATATTTAAATAATACAGGAATACTTTAAAAACTTATTTTTAAATAAAAATTTTTCATCACTAAATAACTATCATTATAATTATCAAATACCGTAATTTATGTACAAATATAAATCACAAATAATCTTAATAAAAAAAGCAACAAAAATTATACAATGTTTATAATAATGAAAGTAGCAGACATTCCATTGAAATTTTTTTAAAATAAGCGAATAAAATATTAGAAAAATTTATTAAAATGCACACTAATTAAAAATTTACTTTTCTGTATCTAATTAATTTAAAAACTAAGCCAATTATTGTGTCTGCTATTTTCAGTATCAGTTATATTAATAGTAAGAAATGCATCAAATGCAATTTATTAAAAGTAACAATGCGACTTTATAAATTTTTCCATACTTGTTTCACACTCAAAATAAATTCATACTTGAATAAAAATTTAGATACGTAGTACGCGGTCATAAATTTGACATGTAATCAAGTCAATTTTGTGCATTTTGATTTGCAGTTCCTCGTCTCTAATCAGGAGTTTATTTTTTCGCCTAATGGTGGAGGTCGGAAATTGTAGTCCATACGCCTTTGATGCTGCTCGTACAATCTTCTTTCCCGTTCACGTCGTCTTTGCTCGCGAATTTCTTCTGTTGGATCGCCAAATTCTTCGACAGTTTCTTCTTCCCATCCAGTTGCGTTTTCGTCCCATGTTTCAAGCTCATTCTAAAATTGACATAGTAATGAAATTATTAAATTGTACTAGTTTTTTAACTATGGAAATCTAGTAGACAGTAACTTACAGTCGGTACTCTTTCAGAAGCAATAGCAAATTTAGATAAATTCATAGAAGTTTCTTCAGTCTTTGTCAATTTATTGCTGATAATGTGCGTGTGTACGTGTATTGTGTTTATTCTGTCAATTGTTGTTATTTTTTTTGTTCAAAAATTTACGAATAAAAACAAAAATAAGACTCAAGAATTTAAAACTTCCGATGAAAACAACAAAATTTATAAAAAGCTAATTTCGGTAAATTTTCATTTTACAAGAAAATGCAACTATGAATGTGGATTTTGTTTTCATACTGCTAAAACCAGCCACTACACCAAACTGGAAGAGGCAAAACGAGGTCTTCGTATGGTCAAAGAAGTAGGCATGAAAAAAATCAATTTTTCTGGTGGCGAACCGTTTCTTTATCCAAAACACTTGGGAGAGCTAGTAAAATTCTGTAAAATAACTCTGGAACTCGAATCAACATCGATTGTTTCAAACGGGTCACAAATAAAAGAATCTTGGTTCCAAAAGTATGCAAAATATTTGGACATTCTTGCAATTTCTGTTGATTCCTTCAATGAAGAAACAAACATAAAAATTGGACGAGGCCGCGGTAGACATTTGGAGAAACTGTCTGATATCCGCGACTGGTGCGAAAAATACAACGTCAAATTCAAACTTAACTCCGTTATCAGCATCTATAATTGGCAAGAAAACATGGTTGAAGAGATTGAGAACTTGAAACCGTTTCGATGGAAGGTTTTTCAATGTTTACTGGTTGATACTGAGAATGCTGGTGAACAGGCGATTCGTAAAGCTAAAGATTTCATCATCACCGATGAACAATTCGAAGATTTCTGCTCAAGACACCGACATTTGTCAAGTTTTGTCCCTGAATCCAACGCCTTGATGAAAGAATCGTACATTATATTGGACGAATATATGCGGTTTTTGAACAAAGGTGACGTTTATAAGGAGTCAGAGTCTATTTTGGAAGTTGGAGTTCTTAAAGCGATGGAACAAATTGATTTTGATGAACAGACATTCAACGCTCGAGGTGGAATCTACGGCTGGACAAAAACGGACCATTTGAATGTTAATGGTAATTGTGGTTCTGACGATAAGCTTTCTTGGTAATTAAAATTGAACAAAAATAATATTTTTAAAACTCAGGGAAAAATACCATATATTACTATACATAAAAATATGTTATGTACACTGGTAGAAAAATTAACTTGATTTAAGATAAAAAATTTTAAATTAAGAAATTAATTTTAAAAACGATCATCTTGATTAAAAAATAAAATTGTTTTTTATTTAAGTACATGGGACTCAATAGAAAATTTTTCTCTTAAATCAAGTTAATTTTTTATCATTGTATAATATTTATATTTAAGCATTTGCATAAATCAAAAAATTAGTAAGTATATTTTTATATTAACAAATATGAAATTTTTCTCAGTATATATTATTTTATTACATAATATGTTATAGCATTAGAAATGTATGTGTTTAACAAAGCGAGTATTAAAGTTTAATCTTTATCTACAGTACAAATATAATTTACATGCTAATCTTAATATGTGTGTACCTAATATATGGCTGTATAATTTTAATTATTTTACGTTTTAAGGTAGTTCCAGCATGAAATCACTTTTCGACAGATTCGGCTGAAATTTTTTTTACGGGTTCAGAATAGCTTTATAAATTCCTGAAATTTCATAATTTTTTACCGTTTAGATCGCGAGATATTTAAAGTCAAAGTTGGCGATTTTGAGGGTCATGTTCCATCTAAAGCATGTAAAATGTCCGGTCTCTCCAACTATTTTTTATGATATTAAAAAATTCTCTCGACAGAATTGGAAAAAAAAATTAGGAGAGTGTTGAAAAATGTTTTTAGAATAAGTTAAAAAAATAAAAATAGCACTTCACCGTTTTGTTATCGAAATATAATAATTTTAAAAAATAAATTTCAATCCATTTCTAACCTGCTCACTTAACAACTTATAGTGATTTGGCAACGCCGTGCACAACGCTCCCTGAAATAGTGTAGCATAAAAAGCGGGAAATTCAAATCTTTCACGGTTTTCAAGAGCAACGTTGCCAGATCACTAGACTAACAATATGTAATTGTATGTGTGAACGTCTGTGTGCCGAGGCTTTTAAATTTTTGTCCATAGTAAATGCTCTGACTATACTATACCATGCTGGAACTACGTTAAAATAAGCAAATCAATATATTTTTTAAAACTTTGATGTTAACATTAATTTAACCATAAGTATCATAAGAATATATATGTACCTATATTAAATAAAAAAAAAAAACAATGCTCAAAAATATTAATGGTGTTATATATTATTTTTTAAGAATTTATTATGTGTATGTTATCATTAATTATTTCCTTTTCAAAACAAAACTCTTGAGTTACTGAAAGTAAAACTGGTTGTGTCATCGATAACGTTGAACGTGATAATACTTCGATAGGAATTATGAGCTCCTTATCACCGATTCAGAATTTCTTCAACGTATACTTTGAACAATATACATTGGCTTTGAATTTTCAAGTGCAATTTGATCTTGACATAAATTAAATACAGTAATCACTAAAGTCATAAAACTTTGATGACTGAAAAGTACAGTAAGTATAATTACGCACTAATAATATTGATTTTCTTACAATCTAAGTTAAATATTCTTCTGTATTGCAATCTAGCTTTAAAAGTTTCCAATGAACTTTTAAATAATGTAATCGTTTTTTATTGATTTTTAGAATTTATAGTCCCCTTCTAGACGAATCAATTATTTTACATTAACTAGAATTTGAATTTACGCGCGCAAGCGCGCGCTTGACTATGGAATTTGCATATATTTTCATGCTTATGATATATTCGACCAATCACGTTACGAATAGTTTGATGCCACATACATTTCATCTCAATTTTATATTAGGACTAGAATTTAAATTTACGCGTGCAAGCGCGCGCCTTGACTATAAAGTTTGCATATATTTTCATGCTTATGATATATTTGACCAATCACATCACGAATAAATTGGTTTCACATACATTTCATCTCAATTTTATTATGGGACTAGAATGTAATTTGCGCGCGCCTCATATTTATTGTCATGATATATTTATGTGTCGTTTATGTATATTATATGCACTTTTAACCAATCAGAATGAGAATATTTATTTTCGACCAATCACAACACGAATAAATTGGTTTCACATACATTTCATCTCAATTTTATTATGGGATTAGAATTTAATTTTCGCGCGCAAGCGCGCGCGTCATATTTATTGTCATTATATATTTATGTGTCGTTTATGTATATTATATGCACTTTTAACCAATCAGAATGAGAATATTTATTTTCGACCAATCACTAACTACGAATAAATTGGTTTCACATACATTTCATCTCAATTTTATTATGGGACTAGAATTTAATTTTCGCGCGCAAGCGCGCGCGTCATATTTGTTGTCATGATATATTTATGTGTCGTTTATGTATATTATATTAACTTTCAACCAATCAGAATGAGAATATTTATTTTCAACCAATCACATCACGAATAGATTGGTTTCACATACATTTCATCTCAATTTTATTATGGGACTAGAATTTAATTTTCGCGCGCAAGCGCGCGCGTCATATTTGTTGTCATGATATATTTATGTGTCGTTTATGTATATTATATTTACTTTCAACCAATCAGAATGAGAATATTTATTTTCGACCAATCACATTACGAATAAATTGGTTTCACATACATTTCATCTCAATTTTATTATGGGATTATCCGAAGTTTGTAACTCCAAATAATTTTTTATGCGACGAAAAAATTTATCAATTTATAAAATTGCTCTTTTTTCAATCTTTGCTCTTATAATTAAAAAATTTTAAGTATTCATAAAAAAATCAAATATGTAAATTTTTTCTATAATTGATAAAAATGATTTATCTCGTAAATTATTATTTTCATAATTCCGAATCACCATAGTAGCTAAATAAAAAAAAAAAAAAATCGATGAATAATTTCAATTTAATACAACACTCAAAAAAGAATTCTATGTACGAACGCATTCGTAACGTTTGGTACTACGGTTAAATTCGCATTTTTGATATTTATTGCAGGTTGTTCCACCACAACTGACCCCATTATCTCCAGAACCTTTGTATCCGCCGTTGTAACCAGTTGCGACTGCACTCGGTGACACGCAAGACATAGAGCCGCATTTATTCGGGCAGCATTTTTCATTAAACGAACATTCATAGTCGCTGTGACATCTCGGCATGCATCTCGTAACAGTATTTTGGAGAGGACAGTATCCACTTTTATCTAAAACAATTTTTATCTAAATTAGAATCTATCGCTTGATATTTATTTATTTCAATTATTTTTTTTTATTCGTAAAAAATACGGTCATATTTACACAAAAATAAAATTTACTTAAAATAAGATAATTGTTTCGGTGAAAGAAGAAATTTTCCTTGAGTTATAATTTTTTACTTCAGCCAAGATAAATATTTTTTTTTAATCAAGAAAATTTACTTTAGAGTCGAGAATTTTTTCTGTGCATAAAATAATCCTTACAATAAAAATACATGACAGTTTGAAGTTAGTCAATAGTCGAAAAAATGGGACCTGATTCCTTATTGGTAGAATATAAACCCTCCTCAGTTACTATTGGTCAATCTCTTGGTACGTGAACATATCAATATATCGATATAAATCGAACAGGATAAATTCATTCGAGAATTTCAATAGAGGGCGCGCGAATGCGCGCCGTTAAAAATTCTAGTATATCTAAATTTTTCCTGTAAAAGTATCATTTTTTTCTAGTTTGTTCTTATTTTTCCAAAATAGTTATATCAGAGTTACATAAGTATAAAAAAAAAAAAAAACAAGAAAATACCGTGACAGTAAGTAAATTCTAAATGGCTGATGGTCACTACCTAGTACGTCTCGAAAAATGTCTTTATATAATTTTAATATTAATTTTTGGTTAATCAAAAATACTTACATATTAATTTAAGTTAAAATAATTAGGCATGAAAAGAAAATTCTTTCATAAAAAATCACCCAACAAGATAGAAAATAAAGATGTATCAACTGTACATAAAAACAGTATGGAAAAAAGAGTAATTTTGTATAAACTAATAGATTTATTATATTATGTTAGATTGAAGAAACAAACGTCTGCTAGACCTTGGCTTAACTATTTTCAATTGATCGTTTTATTTTTCAAATCATAACAATAAAAATTTTTAATTATTCAATCATACTTACATGAGCCTTGCGCGTTTATTACTGCGATGCTTATCATCAAACAAACCAAAACAATTATTTTTCCTGAAAGTAGATTAATCAAAATAAGTAATTGTCAATTTGAAAAAAAAAAAATATTTCACTTTTATTAAATTTTTATTATGCTTCACATGAAGTTATTAAATAAAAATGATAAATATTAGAAATAATAAAACTCACTGTTCGTGGCCATGGCTAAGATTCGAATGAAACCTGTTGCAGTACCGTCTAATCCCCAACTCACTTATTCAATAACGAGACTCGTCACAATAAAAATATTTTTTAATACCTATAATAATTCTTAATAATCCCGTTCTTATACTATTCGACGAAAGGTTTATCATTCAAAGCGTTAAATATACTAAGAATATTTTTTATACGCATTCACTTTTATCATTTACTTGACGCAGTATGGAATTTAAATAATTAAAAATTTATTTATTTATTATCTTTTCTGTAATGAAAGTTTACTTCCATACAATTCCGAATTTTGTAAATAAAAATTTTCTATGAATTTAAAGCTGAAACTTGGACAAGTTTTTTAGATTACTGTTATTGATCGCGGGGAAATCCCATTGAAATACGACAACTGGGTGATATTTCGAAAGCATATTTTTTCAGCGTGAACTGGTGATGAAATAAACTGGAATCGACAAACAAAAATAAATTTGTTAACATGAAGTATGTATAGAAAGTAAATAAATTTCGTTCACTATTTCTAGATGGATTTATATTTCCATATCACTGATTTTTTTTATGAGAAATATTGTCAATATAATGCCCACTGCACATTTCATGTAATATGAGATAAAATCAAATTTTAATATTGGTTGAAAAAGGTATTTTTAAAATTTTTCGTTGTCATTTGACCTTTGAATTTCAAAATATGGAATTTATTAACAAGTTAAAAATATTTACCTTGAATTATTCAAAAATAAGCTTAAAAAAAATTAAATCAACAATTTTTTGTTTAAAACAATCTTTACAATTAATTAGTTATTTTTTATTACACTTTTCAAGTACAATTATATTTATTATTATACTAAAAATATATTTACTTACAAATTACATTAAGTGAAGGTGTGTGACTTGATGAAGAGCGGAAAAAATAAAATCTTGCTCTTGACCGCGATAACAACTTTATTATAAATGTCTGTTGACTCATTCTATCATTGAACGTTTATTATTTGCATCTGTATTATTATTACTACTACTTAGACCATATAATACAGTTGTTAGATATGTTAACACTTTGCTTAAGTGTTTCCATTCCCACTCATGTTACATATACACTTGTAAATATAATTTTTTGCATAAAAAAGTTTACACTTCATACATGTTTTTTTTTCAACAATTCCTAGTATTTACATTTATTTTTTTTTCAACAATTCTGAGTATTGTTTGCTGATATAATTAAAGGATGTACTCAGAAAAAAATTAGATCAATATCAATATTTTCCTAATTTAAAAAATTACTAATTTTCAAAGCGAGAAATTAAAAAAAGTTTACTCAAACCCAATACATTTTTTGGTATACTTAAGTTGTTTTGGAGAAAGAAGAAATTTTCTTGGCTCAAAACTTCTCAGCCAAAAGAATTTTCGTTTTTCTATTTAATTTCTTCCGTCAAAAAAAATTAGTTCTCCAATGAAGAAATTTTTTCTCTGTGTAGAATCTAATCAAACTTTCAATTAAGATATTTCAATTTGTGACATTTCATTCTGAATTCAAACTTATCCTAAATCTTCAGATTATCATTTAATAATTTATCATCAATAATTTTAGAAGAGATTGTTATAAATTCTGAGTATAAAAAGAAAAAACATTTAGATATAAAATATTTTGCACCTTATTAAAATTAGACTAGTTTGAACTTAAAAACTTATAAAATAAAAAAACTTCAATAATAATCAATTAATTATTGGTACTTCTATCAAACAAAAATGGATTGTTAGGATTGAATCCAGACAAATCTCTATCAATAACATTAGGCTTCGGATCAACTGTTGGTTCAACCGATTCAACAACATTAATGTCCGGTTTCTGGCAAGCTAAGGCGCCGCAGCGGTTCTTGCAGCACTTCCTAGAGCCTTGACAGTCGCTGTCAATAGTACAAGTCGGCGAACAAACCCAACGGCCGGTAGGAACTGCTGGACACGATCCCGGTTTTTCTAAATGAATAAAACATGATAAATAAAATTTAAATGTGTGGGATTGAAAAGAGTATGCAGACTATAGTACAGAAGGATTAAAGTTTATGTAAATAGGTAAATTAATTAAAATTAACAGCGGTGGATTTGAAATTACTTACCGGTCTCCTCGGATCTTGTTGTAACAGGTCTGGAGCAAATTAATCCTCCGCAGGTTGTCGGGCAGCATTTACCAGCTCCCTGACAGTGTGCATCAACCAAGCATGGCTTAGAACAAATTTGCACAGGTAATGGCGGTGGACAAGATCCGGGTTTGTCTTCGTGAAAGTTAAATTGTGAATAAACACAGGCTATCGTTGATAGCATTAGTAATACTTTGTAAACAACTTTACCCATCTTCACTCGACATCCACTCACCACAAACTATACTTTTAATCATCTTGAGAATCCCGCTTTATATACACTTTATTTATGAATATCTTTCCCCTCCTCGTATTTTTCATTCAATTAACTCCTAGTAATTTTTAATCATCAGTCAGAGCAATTTATTTTCATTTACCTAATTAGGGCAATAATGATAAATTTTTTTATAACTATTCCGGTCAATATTTTTCTATGTTTATTGCATCTCATTTATTTTCATAAAAACAATATTCTTTACGCAATTTTTCAAATTAAAAAATTAAATATTATACTGAGAAAAAAAAATACTTTTGTTAAGAAAATTTTCTTCATACAAGAATATATATTTTTGATAATTATTATATAAAGAAAAATTTATTTTCTTATTTAAATAAGGATATTGTATGTTTATCTATCATAATATAATGAAGAAAGATATTGATATTCTTTAGTCAGAAAATTAATAAATTTAAATAGTTAATTTTAAAAAATTCAATAAATATTTGTCTGGACAATAATTTTTCTTTTTCTTAGTGTAAGTAATTTGGGATTTAAAGGATTATTATTTAAATAAATTAACAGACCATTAAGATTACACTTATTATTTTATTTTGTATACAGTAAACACGTACACATTTACTGCGTAAAAAATTACAAACGTGTATAATCATTAATCATTTATATTTAATCATAATAATAATTATTATTACAAAATCTACGTAATGTGATCGGTAAAAATCTTGATTGATTTATCACTCGAACAGTTTGATATATTCTACAGGAATTATTAGATAAATATATTTATATATAGTAAATATAACCGAAGTAGAAACATAATATATTGTTGTGCGTTTCAGCGACCTCGATCCTCGATTGATTGCGGAAGTATTTTTAATTAATTAATTAAAAACAGTCTTTAACGAAACCCCAGTGTTACGCAAAAATATTTTACATTTTTAAAATCATATACATAGCTCTAATAACTAATAATTTATAAATGTTCAATTCATACATGTATAATTGATTGATTATAATATAATAATAAAATATTAATAGTTAATAATTATAACATTTTACATAATTTGATTTAATAATTTGGCTTGTAAATTAATAGTTTTATCTGTTGGTCATATATATTTGGTATATTATACTATAATGATAATAATAATAATTATTGCGCGTTATTTTATTGCCGGGTTAATTGACTAAGTTAGTGGAAGGCACGTCTACTTTTTAGAAGGAGCTGAAACAGAAAATTATTGAAACATTTATTAGTGTTTATTTGAATAACTTTGAGAAATAAATATTTGGCCTTGGGCCCGTAAACTAATTATAATTATCAATAATATAATATAATAATAATAATAATAATAATAATAATAATAATAATAATAATAATAATAATAATAATAAGTAATGTAAATAAATAAATAAATAAATAAATAAATAATTAAAAAGTGACGTCAGTTTAAGACGGTCAGTTCCATGAACTATGAAGGTCATGAATAAGTAGAGAAGCAAGTTAAAAAACAAGTATGTAAATGAAATCAATTGTCTGCGTTACATCTGTTTTAAATGACGCTATTGTTTGTAAAAATTCTTTAAAAGTTTAAGAGTTTTATTCTTGTGTAAATTATCTTTTTAAATTTCAGCTTTCTCAGTATTTAAAATAAATATTAGCGCGTTTAAAAGTTTTTTTATTATAATAATGATACTAAAAATAATAAATAATAGCTTTAGTACTCAACAGAGAAAGATGAGTGAAGATGAGTCAAAGTAAAAGAATAATAAAAATATAGTACACGAAACGCGAAAGTGTTTAGTAAATATTGGTGTGTCTAAAAAAAGTAGGATCCATTTCCTGTTGAAAGTAAATATGTTGATTTAATACCTCGAGGTGGGACTGGAGGCGCCGGTGGCTTTTTTGGGATAACGCCGACGACTCTTGGGTCTTGATCACACGGTTGAATATTCATGTAGTCGTGTAGCACGGGTGCATCAACAACATCTACACTCAAGGGTACATTTTCCACGTGATTTGACTGAATATTAGTGTCTTGGAGATTTACGGGCTCATCTGGGTTATTGTAGTCTTTATTTATTACCTTGTTGAGCTCGGAGCTCATTTGCGATGCATCATTGTCTGTATTATTTTTTTTTATATCACAGGAATTATTGACGTCACTCAGGACATTTTTGAGATCATTTGAATTTGCTGTTGGTGTTATGTTCATGTAATCAAGTGGTATGTGGGTCGGCGGTGATGGCGGCGGCGATGGTATCGATAGTTGATTCAGCTCTTTTATTTGTTTTTGACAATCGTTATTTTCATTCAACTCGGGATGGGGTTGTTGTTCTTCGGGAATGCTCATTGGAGGCCCGAATGAATGGTCACATGGGGAGCTCGGGGTTTTTGGCTCTGTAGATGTTCCGTCTGCATTGAAAGCTTAACATAAAAAATTTAAACATGAGTAAAAAAGAAATTACAATGTGAGTTAAAATTTAGGTTTTTTACAATCATTTTTTATTGAAATTTTTCAGCAAATTAATTAAATTCCAACTTCGATAACTCAAGAATTTTTTAAGCGAATTTCTTTAAAACTTAAAAAATTTTTTTTTTTCAATTCAAAATGTAGAAATTGAAAAAAATATGAATAAAGTGTCCGCCGATTTCAGTATAAAAAGTTTAAATTAAAAATAAGAGTATCACTTATTACTAATTTTATACAAACTTACGATGAACAGGTAGCCCTGATACTGGGAATGCGATGTAATACTGATCTGGAGCTGGTGTTGGATGTCTACGATGTTCATCAATGCAATTAGTTGATGATCTTGGTGACGGAGTATACCGTAACGGTGAATATCTTCCAGTAAATGGCTTAGGCGCCGGAGGAATTTCATAAGTCATCATACCGCCTTTATCTTCTCTAGAATTGCGAAGCTAAAAGTAAACCATAATTAAAAAAAAACACTCCAAGATCTTAAACAACTAAAACAAAATAATTAACAGTAAAGTAAAAAGCGTACTCGACGGTCTTCAGTGTCTGAATGAGTTCCACTATCGCCAAGACTAGTTCCACTACACCCGCTGATAACACTCATCCGGCCAGAAGAAGAAGAGCTGGATACACTGTGCAGACTGAGGCTGCTGATAGGTCGCCGGTCACTCAGAGTTCCATTAGACTTATTATCAGTCTTGCTGTGTGTCGACGCAGAATCGTCATCCTGGCTACTGGAAGATTCTTTCGCTTCTTTTTTGCTCTTGGTAAAAAGTTTCTTAAACCTATCAAAGGGCGTCGGAGCTTTCATCTCCTCTTTAATCTTTTTCTGTATCCTCTCGTACTCGTCTCGCATCGAGGCCAACTGTCTCTGTTTATCCTTGAAACTCTGTTGGACGTCATTGCGGTTTCGCCAGTTCTCTACCAGCCTCTCCACCTCAGAAATAGTAAATACGTTATTTTTAAAGTCTGTTATTATCTCAAGAAGCTCGTCTTGAGGTCCAGATGCCTCCCGAGATTTCGTTCCTGGGTACGATGTCGATCGATTCAAGCTTCCGCCCAAATTAGACAGGTTTGTGTTCATGAAGTCTTCACGATTTATTGGGAAGTCTTTTCTCAGAGACTGGGACATTGTCGGTTTCAATGCCATCAGCGGAGCAGTGATAGGCGCGCTTGATAATTTTGGGCCTGTAAAAATGAAACAAAACAATTTAATTTATTGTAAATAAATAATAAATAAATATCAAACATGCATCCCTAATTCATAAACATTAGACTGCTTAAAAAAAAGTAATTTTTTTTCGCTTTGCAAAATTCTCTCTGAAATAGTTTAAAAAAAAACTAGAGTTTATAAAAAATTAATATTAATAGTAGAATAATATATAATAATAAAAAACAAGATTATTTGGTAAAATTGCTGTTATAATATAATTGATATAATCTCAAAACTTAAAAAAAAATTTCAAGGAAGATGATTTGGAGTCAAATTTTAGAATGAGAAAGAGATTCACTAAAAAAATTGAAAAACTTTAAAATTTCTTATAAGTTGAACTTTAATCTTAAATAACTTTTAAGGAGGTCCTTTCGCCGCCAATGTAAAATAAAAAATATTAGATTATGAGTAAATTCAATTTTTTTCTAATAGTTAAGGTCCTTATTTATCTAATAGTGAGGTTTAAATTATACTTTACCGGACAAATTTTTGAAAAAATAAAATTTTTAAATGTTAGTATTTGTTCAGAGTCTTACGAGAAAGTCAGACGTTTGCAGTATTTCTCGAATTATACTATCAGCCATGGATTAGATGAAGTAAAAAAAAAACTAAAAATTAGATTTTCGAAATATTCAGGTTTCTTTGTTTGCAATAAAATATATCAGTTACCGAAATATTTATTGGGAAATTAATATTTAAAAATCACAAAAAATTCTCAAGCAACCTACGTTAAAATGGAGTCAAAAAATTTGGCAACGTTGCGTAGCGCGCGAACTTCAGACCATTCAATAAATTCAAACTAATTTATTTATTTACACACTGTTAAAAATTTTTGTAAAATTACAAATCAGTGTATAGCAATGCTAAATAAAATACAATTTTCTCATAATCTAATATTTTTTATTTTACATTGGCGGCGAAAGGACCTCCTTAAACGTGGTTAAGGTTATATTGTGCAAATGAAAATGTAAACAATCGAAGTACAGCGTTGCCAAATCACGGACAGGTTACTAGCAGTTGATTTGAAAGAGTCAAATTAATTTTTGTATTTAACTATTTTTTTTTTTTTTTTTTTTCAAAGTTTCAACGATTAATGCCTCATATACTATTTATTATTTAATTTTAGGAATTTTTATGGGTTTCTTTTTTTAATTTATCGTATATTGACTACTACAATTGTTTTGACTCAACTGGAGCGAAAGGATTTCCTTAAAAGAGTAAATTTATCAAAGTTGCTAAGGGTCTTTCTTGTAGACCTTTATATTTCCAGTAATAATATGATCGGGTTTTACTATTCTCATTAGCCGTTGAAGAGTTCTAAAATTTCAAAGTTTAAAAAAAGATTTTTTTCTGTTATTTAAATAAAAAATATAAATCTGCGACTAGTGACCTTTGAATATTCATATTAAGAGGCATATTTTCTCATCTTCTCGGAATATTTCAGTGAGAATTTCGGAATACAAAAAAAAAAGTAACTTATTTCAAACCAGTCTAATAAATATACATGCATGTGTGTTAAAAGCTTGTTATAACCGCCGTGATTTAAATCTCACCGGCGGGTTGCATTTTCAAATATCCCTGAAGTGGTAAACTCAGACCATTAGCTTCGAAGTTTACTGGTGGTGTGGTTGGTGAAAATAACGCTCCAACTACAGGTGTTGGTGGCGGTACAATCGAGTAATTCATCTCGCAGGGGTTCGGCGAGGTCGGTGGGTTCGGTGGTGGTAGTTGCGGTGGTGCACACGAAATTGGAGCCGAGGTAATCACTGGCCGGGCTGCTGGCGGTACTAAATAAGCTTCACTGATCGGACGCGGTTGGCAGTAGTCCTCTTTATCCTGCTCAGTGTCCAAGCTGTTTAATTGCGCCGGAGCACTTTCATTACCTGGAAATTGTTTTTAATTATTCTATTATAGATTGTACTGTGTAATATAAGAGCAACTGTACAGTATACAGCAATTAAAACTTCTATAAGTATTAAAAAGAAATTGATTATTTTTTATTTTTACTCACTTGCTCCGCTGCCAGATGTGTTTTCGCTTATTACTTTAAGATAGCTGTACATGTTTGTGAACTCGTTCATTTGCTGTATTGATTAATAGTATCCGGAACATGCAACATAAAAAAAAAAAATAATAATTGTTATTATTTCACTAGATTAACCTTAATTTTGTGATAATTAACTCAATCAAAATTAAATTTGCTTATTAATTAATACATTAATTCATTTATTTATGGACATTATTCTAAGTACCATGTAACCCCGAAGCTGATGAGCCAATTTAGCATGACCAGCTTGCTCAGCGAGCTCCGCCGGTGTCAACTCGGATACGTTTTTCAAATCACATGCCACTTCGCCCCCAGGACAATCGAGCAATTGCCAGGCAAGTTTTTCTAGACCAAAACGGGCTGCGAAGTGAAGCAATGTTGGATATTCTTCTTGACCTAGAATAAAATAAAAATAAAAATTTTTTAGATTTAAACAGAACATAAAAATATCAAGAGCTAAAAGAAGAAAATGTACTTACTTATAGTATTTCTTTGCAACGGTGCGGAACCACTAGGCGTTGCCAAAAGATTGAAGCGTGGAGGTACATTTTTTTGGAATGCATGAACCATCCAGTTGTCAAGCTGCTCTCTGTCTCCTGAGCTGAATCCAAATGTCTGTGAAAATAATTAATTTAATTAATTAATGTAAAGTTTAACATCAAGCCCGCAAAATTAATTGGGATCAAACACTAAGTACTAGGACGAGTGAAATGTTGAATTAAATTAATGAGATTAAGCAATTACCTGACACATAAACTCCAGGGGATTATCGTGTGCTCTTAGAATCTGATCCAACTCTCTGAGTCTGCTTTCGCACTTGACTTGACGGACTCCCTGAGGTATTCCATTTACGATGATTCTCACGCCGACAAGCATCGATACCTCTAAACACTTTTCTGGAATAGAAAACTGCAACGTATAAGGATTCCGTTTTTTCACTTGGGTTATTTCTTTTCCTTCTCCGCAACGGTCTACAATCACGTTGAAAGTATCTTCAGGTCTCAGAGGGTCGTTCAGAATTGCCAGAACTCTGTTCTGGCCCTGTAAAAAAAAGTACCAAGTGAAAATTGAGTTATTAAAATTAGAAAGACTTAAACATTGATTAGTTACAGAAAATTTTGAAAAACAAAAATTAAATAATAGTTAGATTGTTACAAACCATTTTAACTTTTTTCGGATGAACGGAGAAAGTTGTTTTATCGCTCTTCAAAGCAGCTGACGTGGTGGATCCTAAAATAGCGACCGCTGCACCTAAAAACTCTCCGACAAAAGTCTCATCCTGATCCTTGACGAAAAACTTTCTCCACTGTGAGTAAGTGATAAGCGCAGTCTTTTGGCTTTCAGTCAAATGTCCGTCATGGACACCCAGCATCATTGCCAGGACCCGCTCCGGCGCCAATTGTTTGGCCAAAGCGGACGCCTGTTCCGGTTTATTCGATGCCTTTTCCAGTAAAATTGGACACACGACTATTATTTGCAGACGTGCTTTGGAAATTTTATCCTGCACCGTTGTTGAAATTGCCGTTGCGTCCTCAATCGCCACGTGTCTCACCCTGAATTCAACAACATTCCCAATCAATTACAGAAATAAATAAGGATGATGATATAAAGTCAACAAGGAACAATCAATCATTAAATAGTAAATTTTCAAAGACAGAAAGCCGAGTTTCTATTATTTGATTGTGACAAGTAACAAATTATTTGAGTTAACACGCAAAGTTTACAACAAAAAGTTAAAAGGGATGATTGTAGATTTATGAAATGAAACTAACTTGAAAGGCGGGCGTCCCTGCTGTCTGCTGATTTGCTCAAAGCAGGCAGTGAGGTAATTGACCCACAGCGCGGATGCTTCGCTGTCTTTACTGGAAATGAACACAACATCTTCTCTTTCTTCCATCAGACTGGCAGCGTTAGTACCCTCAATTTTAGTGCCACCGCTTCTGCTCCGCGAGCCTGCAATTAAATCATTAAAAACGAAAAATAAACAGTGCATTCTTATAATAATTACAATTTATTTTTACAATGACAATAATAATAATAATTATTATTATTATTATTATATTGAACCGAGATAATTATCTGGCTGCACAAGATAAACAAGATAATTAATGAGATATGCCAATCTACAATATAAAAGATGCCTTTTAAATCCACTGATTAATTACTCCGAGGATTCTGGAGATTTTTATCAGTGAGCTTTGTCATTATTACAATACCGAGGAGAGATTTTTAAATGAAAAAATACTGATATAATACATAATAGTTGATTAAAAAATGTTTAATTTCATACTGTTATCGTTCATGAGGGTGAAATAAATTCCCGACGGATGTGCCACTCCCGTCTGTACCGGGTAGGAACTGTTGGTGTATCAACACGCGGGTCATTTAACTCGTATGATAATTGAAACGTGTTTGCTCAGAACTATGTATTACATACTATTATTACCATTAATGCCTGACGTTATATTAGTTGGATTAATATTTACATTTAATATTTATTAATTCGTTTTTTTTTTGCTTTCTGGAAGGTTGTTTGTTTATTTATCGATACGAAGCGTATAATGGAATTAAATATAAAATAGAAAATTTGAAATTGAATATAAAGATAAATAAAATAAAGAAAGCAGCCTAGCAGTGGAGAGAACTAAACAGACTCTTTGCTTTTCTTGTCATTCATATCTTAGGGCAGCGGCAGATGGGTTTATTTACTCATTTCTTAACAGGCATGAGAACAAAAAAAATATTGTTATTTTTAGTGTATATGTAGAAGCTCGAGGTGTACTAACTGTTGTACTGTTAGTTAGTTATTTATTTTATTCCCTTATGTTATACACTTATGTATACATTTTATGAGTGAATGCATTTCTCCGGTATGTATAGTATAGCACTGGGTGGCTTTCACGATTTGGCCGTATGTAACATATAAAGTATAAGTGTAAGTACGTAGTATTGTGCGTAATAAAGTTGGATCACTTGGACGATACTCGCGGGTCTGGATGAGAGTGGGATTGAGATATCGATAACATTAACAAAGGACTCATTGTAATAGGGGAAAAAATTGAAAAAAAAAAAATAAAAAAAATTATGTACGGAGTTAGTAAGAATCTTTTGTGCGTATGAAAGAAGTATTTTATTGCTTTATTTCATTACTGGTTTATGTAATTGTAATTGAATGAGAAAAATTCAATATTTATCAGCGAAAATATTTAAGATTTATCCATCGGACTTTCTGTTCCATATAAAGCGATTTTATGAATGAATGAAGAAATAAATCACTCACGTGTCACTAGGCCAGACAGATCAAGGAAGTCCGGCCTGCGTCGTCTTCGCGATCGCGGAGTTTCACATTTAAAACTTGTTGGTATACTTTCCGTAGATGAAATCATTTTTTTTACTTAAATCTATTGATGTTCTATTTTTACGTATTTTTTATTGCTTGTATACGTTGTAAAAAAAAAATTTATAACCACTGTTAAGTCTATACAGAAGGAGTTGTGACGGAAGAATAGTGCAAGTTCAAAGCTAAAAGTGCTAACTCCGGATGCGGATTTCAAACTGTCCAACAGTTAGAGGGCTCGATAAAATTATCCTCCTGGTAAACCGTCAAATCGTGACGTATACTATTGTATTGTATGTTGGATTGTTTTTTTTTTTTTTTTTTTTTTATTGGTCGAGACATGCCGGCTATACCACGAATTGGGCGATGCCCATAATAATTAATTGAGTTGTCTGTGGCACATGATTAGAATTTAAAAATAGTCTACCGACACTTAATATTAATAATTATTTTTATTAAAAAAATTTATATTGTGTTATTATTATTATTATTATTATTATTATTGTTATTGTTATTGTTATTAAAAATTAAAAAATCTAATTTTGTAATTTGATTAAAATAATTTTTTTATAATTATGTAAATTATTATTACAAAAATAAAAATTGTCGCGTGTCGTTTACATTTAAAATTATTATATCCATGACATACTTATTTTTATAAATTGCAAAAACCTACACCTACATTAATTTAAAAAAATATTAATTTAAAAAAATATAAATAAAAATAAACAAATATATCTTATACTTAATTACATTACAGGAAATTAAATTAAATTAAGAATAATTGCAATAAATAGCGTAAAAAAATAAAATTTACCAAAATAAGCGATGCTGCGTTCAGCATATCGATTTTCATCTCTTATTCGCATTTTCTCGCGTGACACGAGACACAATAACAACACAAAATAGACGTATGATCTCTACGAACTTGTGATCCTTGTAACAAGCACTGAGGACTGTTATACTACTGTAGCTGAAACCGGTGGGTAGTGTGGATGTATATGTACTATTATCATATATATCTCACTCCCTTTCTCAAGTTTCTCCGAACGTCAATGAGCTAAGAGCCGTCGAGCTAAAGAGCTAATGTAAGAGAGCTTCTGCAAACGTCTTGCATCTCTTCAATTTGAACGAAACGAGCCAATTAACGTTACCAACACAACTGTTGCTTTCTCTCTTGCAACCATATACTCATTAACGTCTCGTCGATTAATTAACTCATCAGCTTACTTATTTTTAACTTTATTTTCGCAACACATCTATTCTTGTATTATCTTACTTAATTTTTCATTAAAAACAATGCCACTGATTACAAAAATTTTAAATATATTCACAATTTAATTTGACAACTGAATAAAAAATAAAAAACCGCAGTCGATAATTAGGCTCTTATTATTATTATTATTATTATTATTATTATTATCATCATCACTATTATTACCCTCCTTTTTTGGAGTATGTAAATAATAATAGTTCCTTTATGGTATGGTGTCGTTAGATACCGTATTTTATTTCGGTGGGTCAGTAGACTATACCAAGAGAATGTTACACGCGGAATGAACTATAAATCGTCTGAAAACACGCGGAACAAAGGGTCGAGGAAGGGCGGGAGCAAATAAGCGCGCCGTTGCGTGCGCACACCCAATCCTGCGCAATAGATCATTCATCTCGTCGGTCAGAGCGTTTTCTATAATCGCTTTTATTCCAGATAAAATAAAAATATTCTACTCTCATCTCATCATTCCATTCAATACTATATTAGTCATAACTCATAACTTAGATTCATAGAAAACGTCACTATTTAGATTAGAAATGTCTTGACATGACCGGTAACTCAAACTATTGAGAAACTTGACCGAAAGCAAATACAGGACAATAAACACTCTGTATGTCAAGATAAAATATTTCCATAGAAATTTTCTATTTTCTACTCAGTAATGTTTAAACTCGATACCGCAAGTATTATATCTAGAAATATAAAGTTTATTTACCTCGAAAAAATAATCTACAACTTACAACTAAATTTTTTTTTCATTTTTTGTCTGCGCTTGGAGATATTACACTAAATAGTGGTCGTAAAAAGTAACAGCTCGCGTAGAAATATGAATGAATAATGTAATTAAAATTAAAAAATTAATATTAATATTTTTAGTTAGAAATTTAATGGGCTAGAGTACAGTAAGTCCATTGACTGCCTAAATCCCCCTAAAAGTTAGCCAAATGGTAACCCGCTAACCGCGGTGGGATTCGACCAGCTTCCTGTCTTTTTCGTTATCATTATTATTATTACTATTATTGTTATTATTATTGGTATACATGTTTATCTGGATGAATGTATGTTTGTGTAGGTAATAAAGGGAACAAACGTCTTAGAAATTGAATTTCGGATGATGCTCATACTCAAGCATCTCGTATTTCCGTCGACGGCTGAGCGTTTGATGATACGGTTCACTGCTAAGATAATGTAAGCAAAATAAAATTTATAAAATAAAATTAACTTGCTTTAGGTTATAGTCAATTTATGGAAGAAAAATATACAGTCTAGAGTCTGGAGTTTCGAAAACGGAAAAAAATCTTTCCTCAGATCTTTATTTTTGGTTGGATAAATAATTAGTGATCATATCGGTTCTTTCGTGAAATTGGGTACAAGGGTCAATAGTACGCTGTGTACATTAGTAATGCTTGTAGATATACATATATAGGATGAGGCTGTTATTTTATATACTGTACTGTGTGTACTGTAGCTGGTCCCTTTTGGCTTAACGCTAAAATTGACGTTCAATTAGAGAATTAGACCGGTCGAGAGTCGGTGAATCACTGAATGTAGTTCTACAAATTAAAATCGAGCAATATTAAATGTAATACAATAAAATCCATTCATTTTATTTTATTATGATTATTATATAATTATAATGGATTATAGTGCACAGAGATTTAATATTAATCAAAATAGCGATTGCAATTGCGCAACGTGAACAATAGATGTAATAATAGACCTCAGGAAAATAATAAAAGTATATTTTGATTATAATAAAGGATTTTCGAGTGATTTTGATAGTAAGCTTAGGCATGTGCTGACGCGATTCATATCTGGATTTTATTTCTATAAATATAATTCACTCGACGTAGCTAAATATGAGTACAGTAGTATAAAGCGGTAAATATAATAAAAAGGCATATTAGCTTTAACTTGATGCTTGACTCCACGCTCAATCTGCTCTACTCTGATTTCATTAAATTTTTTTGTCTAGTGCTTACACTCGGGTTAATGCTTGTAAGTGATAATTTATAAGATGTAATAAATATATGTACATAATAATAATGGTGATGATGATAATAAATAAAAATGTATGGATATGGATATGGATATACATGTGGATGTCGGTATTAATGCGTTCCTTGTCTCTATCCGACCGAATACTCAGTCTGAATCATGATACATTGACGAGTGATTTAATTTTAAAAATAAAATTCCGAAATTTTTTTTCTTTACATCGAGGAGAAAAGCTCGCAGTTATAAAAAGAAAGTCTAGGTTTGGTTATTGTATGTTATGGTATATATCGAGTTGATTTAAGCGCATTGGTATTAACTGATTTACTTTTTTTTTAATTGGAGAATTTTATCGGGGAGTTGCTATTATAAAACTCGGTTAATTGGCAATTACTAATCGATCTTATTCGACCAATAAGGACAATTATATTATGAAGGTCGTTTGATTGAATATTCATTTTATTCAATTAGTTTGAATGCGAAATTTATGAGTTTATGAGAAGAGAAAGATTATTGATGTTAAATTAATCTTGGGGATATTATTTAATATTAAAAAATTGAATTAAATTTTCAAAAATTTAATTTATCTATAAATAAGGAATAAATTTCATCATGAATAAGGATAAATTTTCAATTAAATATAGTAATGAATGATCTAAAAATTAAATAAAAATTCTTCAAAATTTTTTGGTCTTTATACAAAGCAAAAAATACTTGAAAAAATTTTTTTATCAAAAAAAATTTTATAATTATACACTTTTAACATTTAAAAAACTCTAATATTAATGTTCTAATAAAAAATAAAAAAAAAATTTTAACATTCATAATTCATTCACATGTTTATATTTTATTTTTGCTTCTCCCAATAATATTTAAAATTTTCTATCCTATAAATATTCCTCCTTTGTTCATATTTCAAAAAGATATTTAGATATTAAAAAAGAAAAGATCCACATTTATTTAAAAAACAATAAATATAAATTTACCGTGTTATCGATTTTGACGCCACTTAGCTTATCACCTTATCTTACGTTAATCTGGTTTTAGTCTCGTAGGTCGAGAAAACTTTCTACTACATCCCACATCCCTTTTAGAAGAGAAGTACCATGCACTCTTGTATAAAGCCCAGAGACTAATACTTCCATACTTTTCTAGCATAAATAAGTAGATGAAGTATGGAGTAGTATAAAGCATTACGTATATATAGAGATATGTATATGTATAATAGTACCGCAGATGTACGTCGGGACGTGGGTGGTTTTTACCAACGTCTGACGAATATTAAAAAATAAATCCTCCATAAGAGCGAGAGAGCACGAAAATATTATGAGCTTGGATCAGTATAAAAATAATAACAACAACAAAAAAATAAAAACAATTGAAAATTAAGATATATCTCTTGGATTACCCTCCTTACAGCAATATTGCACCGTAAACTTTTGTAACAATGCCAACAATTAGAGATGTAAATGTCGGACGACAAACACGTCTACACTCTAAAAAAGTAAATTTGTCTGAGTGGCTAAAATTTAAGTCTTGAAAGAAGTTTAAACTAAAGAATAAAAATAAAATAAAAAATATATGGAGCGTTAAAATAAAAAATATAAATGGGAACGATGAATTTTAGCCATTACTGTTAATGTACGAGTAACGATTTGCAGAGTGCAACGATCGTTCTGTATACTTGTATTTTATATATTTAAATGCATGTATATATATGTACGATAGTAAATAGTCAGTAGAAATATATATATATATATATATAAATGTAAATAAAAAGAAGAGAATGAAGAAAATAGAGAACATTACGTGTGATGCAGGAAAAAAATACGACATTGCCGCGACAAAAATAATGAGAAAGCTTATAAAAAAGCTGATTTAGTCAGGGGTGTGTCAAAGTCTCGGCTAAGGTCTGCTGCACCGAAATATCATGATTAATATTTGTTACACATTTAAATTAATATTCTACGAAACTAAATAAATCTTGTATGTTAGAATAATTTATTTCCTTCTGCTACAAATTAAAAAGTATCATGTGATAATTATCGTCGGTATCAGCTACTTATAACATCTTTAATTAATATTAAAATTTTTTTTAATAATAGTATGCCTATAGTTGATTAACATAGACTCATTTTCTCTTGAGTTCATGAGTTTTTTCAATGTTTGTAAACTTAATTTCAATCAACTGAGGTCTTTCTAAAAATTTTCTCAATTCTAGTAAAATTTTTTTCGTAATTACGCCAAAATGGAGCTTCACTTATTTTTGGCTATAAAAAATTAAACTGTCAATTAAAAAGAAATAAATCTGTTGAATTTTCCTTTGAAATTTTTTAGCAATCTATTTATAAAGTATCATACTTTTTTTTTTCTATTTTTTTTTCTTGTTTCAAAACCAAACAAGATGATCAAATTTTTCGACTTGATAATTGATGGTGGAAAAAAATAAAAAAAGTCAAAACAAAATCACATAAAAGTGAAAATAAAATAAATGAAAAAAGTGGAAGAATTTATCACGGAATAGAAGATTAATGGATGTTACATGGATATATAAGTGATGGAGAGTTAGCTTCCGGTTCGCCGAGCTATCTCCGGTGC